AAGCCCCCCCACAAAATATACAACTTGGTATGGTTGTAAGGGTTTCCATGGTCATCTAGAACCAATATCTTCAATTTGCCAAAAGTCACCTCCGAGTATAATCGTTTTCCCTCCAAATGGTTCATTCCTGTAGTTACTATTAGAGAACCCCATGATATCTCTCATTATGTGATCCAAAGCCTCAAAAGCAAATCTATTCATCATGCATGCTTCATCCCATATGATCTGACTTGCTTGTTGAATCAATTCAGCTTTCGGGCTCCCTTGTTTGATGGCACACGTTGAGCACTTAGTTAACGCCAATGGGATTGAGAATCTAGAGTGTGCAGTCCTTCCACCAGGCAATAACAATGTTGTAATGCCACTAGATGCAACATTCAGAACAACCTTTTCTTTTGATTTAAGAAAAACGGATAATGATTTCTAGAGGAAGGTCTTTCCAGTTCCATTGTAACCATACACAAAAAAGAAACCTTCCTTTTCAGCTGTCACGACTTCCATTATATCGTCGTATATCTTCTTCTGGTCTTCGTTCATGGTAGATAAGTATTGTCTAAGATCAGATGACAATTTTTCTCTATCATAGTTCAACTCCTCTACCAAGAAGTTATTTTGAAATCTATTGAGTAGTTCTCATCTGGAAATGGCATACCATCAAACACTTTTAAGGATCGTCCGTTTTAATTAAGTAATTTTTCAATCTCAATCAAACATAAATTCTTTAGATCTTCTGGCGAGATAAGAAGTTCTGCAAAAAAAGTTAATATTAGACTAAATTATTTCGACACAGATTTCAATTCTAGAGTTTTGTATACATACCATGCATTTCATATTAATGTTCATATAAATAATAAAAAAAATAAGTTTTTTATAAAAATACCTTGATTACGCAATATTTTTCTTCGATCAAATAAAATTCCATCAACTAAGAGCTCTCATAATTTTTTCCAAACAACTTGAGGATGGCTCATGGTATTTGTCACTAACAATGTGACAAACAACTTTCTGAATTGATTTCTTGATCCTAGCTCAGCAGCCTCTTTTATTCCCTCAATGAATTATTTATCATCGCCTAATACTTTGCATGCTTCTTTGAATGAGTTATGTATAACATTGTTAACTATCTTCAAGCTCTGATAGCTTTTACATCCTCGTTGAACCGTTAAAAGTATTCTCAAATAGTATAACTCTCTAGTTCCTGTTGGCACATATTGCAAGCGGCCTATTGATGGTCTTTGTTGTCTCGGGAACCATTTCCGCTCTTTGTTGTTATACACAAAATATCCAGGTTGTTGAGTTAAATCAAATCTAAACAAATATGAAGAATTAAAACTTGAAACAAATGGTTAGTGAGTTAAATCAAACCTAAACATTACAAAATGAAGAATCAAACGAACATGATTTCTTCAAACAAATCATGAAGAATTAAATCAAACACTTATCATCGGTTCAATATATTGACAGAAACATTGGTTGAAATAAAACTTGAAATATATAAAAACTTGGAACAGAGGCTAAACTTCTATAAATATTTAACATATGATATATATACTTACGTGTTCGTCGAGGAATACCATTTTTATTGAGTTTATTGCCTTGTAATCATTGAAGGCAGGCAACATATACAACCATATCACACGAACACAAATCCTCCAACACTCACTTGTTGGATTGATTTTTGATAAAGGGTGAATGAGCTTGAAAGACATGACGATTCAGCAAAAAAATTATTATTCGATTGTAGTTTTCTTTCCAAGGCATCAATTTTGAATCGAGAACACAATTGAAATGAATGTATTCCAATGTGATATATAGATTGCCAAATGCCAACACTTATTTTTCACAAATAAGAAATCTCCTAAATTTCGTAGCTAAATCAGAATCGTGCATAGGACTTTCCAAGGCAAAAATTATGGATCGAACTTACCTAATTTTGAAGGCATAATCGTGAGATTCGTTGTGAAGGCTCAGCAATTTTTGATTCGAACTTACCAAATTTTGAAGGCTTCATCTCGCGATTGATTTCTCACATACGGAAATCACTAATCTTCAGCCAACAATTTAGAAATCATAAGCGATTCTCCAATTTCTTCCTTTTTTTGAAGACCAGCAAATCCCATAGAAGGAAAGGAGTTGTTATGAATTTGAAAGAATTTTTTTGAAGGCATCGATTATCGCGTAGAAACTCTGCGGTCAATTGGTTTCATCGAGAGATCCGCTGGTGCACTTAGTATATAATTTTTTTAAAATTTTACTCACTTATGACGTGGCGCTGACATGTAAGAATTTTGCCAAATAGACATGCCAGATATCGAATTCCTGCTAATCGGAGTCTCCTTTATTATAGTAAAGGATTTTTACAAAGTTAGTAACAGAAAATAATAATTTAAAAATGGAAAATACCAATTTTAAAATGAATCATACTTGTTATTTGACTTAGAATTTTTTTAATATATACGGAATAAAATTATCTTGTGAGGAAGATCCTTCGCAACTTGACTCCCAAATGGCGCTCCAAGGCCGATGCCATCTACGAGTTAATTGGCGCCTCCAACGTCACAATCGATGGGTTAAGAAGTAATCTCAAAACTTACAAATCTACCATACTTAATCCATCGTTGGACGAACAAAGAAAGAAGGGAATAGCCCTCAAAGCCACCAAGGGACCGGTGGAAGAGGTTTCAAGCAACGATGACAACGAGTTTGGACTTACACCATATTCTTCCAGTTTAACCCAAAGCTTCGAGAGAGAAAAATGTAGGGAGCTACTAAAAATTCCTCAAAATTATGGTTAAATTTTAAAGTTTTTGTATTGGCCAAAAAGAGATTGCATTCGTCTACACACAAACCTTTTGTGATTGGATAATCTTAACCACCACCCCCCAACCACCAAACTAGACTCAATGTAAAAGTACGAGTAGTATTGATTAGAGAGACAATAGAGAGGGAGGCCAAAATTCCCTTTTAGGGTTTATTAGTTCGGCGTGTGATGATGTTAGACCATATCTCTTTAGTTGTCTAATGACCTCTATTTATAATACACCTAAGGGGAAACCCTAATTAGTTATGATAAGAGTAATTACGTCCATCAAGTAATTATCAATAATATAATCGGGCAACTATGGTTATTGATCAACAAACAAGATAGTTAATCGTGGGGGCTACATAATATTCTTACATTGTACACCCACATTATCACACTTTCAAGCACACAAGTGACAGAAATGAATTAATATGTCTTGTATAACATATGCTTTTAGTTTCTCTAAAGATAGTAATACAAAATCTATGGCTTTGTACTAAATTAAATATATCAGATATTACCGGTAATGTAAGGAAATAGTATATAAGTTAAGGGTGGATAAACTCAATATATTTCAGTTTTAGATGTCGAGGTAGAAGATTTTTCTGGTAGGAGAACACAATGGGTTCATTTTTAAATAATACCATATTTGGACAAATTGAAATTAAAGGTACATTTAGATTATATGTACAACATGCAAGTTATGTTAAATGTTATATATATTGAAAGCCTATATCATATAAGGTGAGATCTGTGCCAAGGATGAGGGTTCAAGATTATAGTGAACTGGAGGCACTAGAGACCCTGGTCAAAGAAGGGGTGTGGAGAGGCATCATTGAGATTCCCTGGCGGGCAACGAATTTGATGAGGTTTGTTGGGATAAAGTCTGAAACATTGATCAGCCTGTTACAAAACTGACTGAAGGGGAAGTGAAATAGTGAATTGGCTACTTCAATCAATTGAGAGAAAAGTTAAAGGCCTCACTTCAATCAGCTTATTGTTTTCTACTATGAGAAAACAAAAAAAAACTTGCACTATTCTTGCTTGGAGCACATTTCTTTTTTCTTTTTTGTTAATCAATGCTACTCGTACTTCCAATATCATAGTTGCACCGAATGAGGTATTTCCAAAATTCATGATATCTAAAGGAAAAAAGAAAATATGAATTTTGGAAATACCTCATTCGGTGCAACTATGATATTGGAAGTACGAGTAGCATTGATTAACAAAAAAGAAAAAAGAAATATGCTCCAAGCAAGAATAGTGCAAGTTTTTTTGTTTTCTCATAGCAGAAAACAATAAGAGCTCAACTGATTGAAATGAGGCCTTTAACTTTTCTTTCAATTGATTGAAGTGGCCAATTCACTATTTCACTTCCCCTTCAGTCAGTTTTGTTCACCTCAATAACAGCTGGGATGCCGATCAATGTTTCAGACTTTATCCCAACAAACCTCATCAAATTCGCTGCCCGCCGGGGAATCTCAATGATGCCTCTCCACACCCCTTCTTTGACCAGGGTCTCTAGTGCCTCCAATTCACTATAATCTTGAACCCTCATCCTTGGCACAGATCTCACCTCATTTCCACGACTTGCAATTAAGAGCTCAATTGATTGAAGTGAGACCTTCAACTTTTCTCTCTTTAAACAAATCTAGAAGCTCTACATAATCCAATGGAGAACTCAGCTGTGCCCCTGAAACCCCAAAAAAAAAACTACAGAAATCTAAAAATTGAAATTCACGCAATCTATAAATAAGTAAAGGAAGAGTTGCAAAAGTTAGATTGAATTGCAGAGAATGCAATTTTGCAGTCAATGTCTGCAGATTTACAGTTTTTATATGGTAAATTATGGAGTATAAAGAAGAGGGCAGAAAGGACAACAAGAAAAAGTTCACCAAAACCACTCATGTGGGAGGTCTTTTTACAAGTTCAATTCATTTTGCTGCTTTTCTAATACACAATAAAATTACATACTGCAAAAATTTGAATACAGTTTAATTTACTGCTCCCATAACTAACATTCATGCTGCCATTAATGGGTCATTCTGCTGTTATAATTGTGCAGGATTATTATGCACTTGCCTTGCCACAGAACATGTCTATAAAAGGGGGTCATTCTGCCCCTTCCACCCACGCCTCAATTTCCCAGTTGCTCCATGGAAAATGAATTATCAAAAATGGCTCAATTTTGGTATGTTTTAAAAGAAATAGATACTTCCCGACACCTTGCTCATCTATAATCACGCCTCATCCATTCATAAGATTACAGTCTATAAGAAATAGCGGGGATGTGTATGGCATCGAGTCTGTTTTCCATGATCATGAGGTATATTCTGGTATATTCTACTCATTTTTTCTAGAGTAATTTACCTAAATAGGATAAAAACATAATGACTTTCTCAATATAGGACTATATGTTTTTATTTCCCAATGTAGGACCATTGGTTATTATTTATTAGTCATTATTCAACTAAATGTTCAGCATCACTTGGACATTATTCTTTTCACTAATCATTATTAAGTCTTATTTAGGGAATAAAAAAGTTTAAGTCCTACATTGGGAAATGACTTATGTTTTAGTCCTATTCACTGCAAATTTCACTTTTTTCTAATCATGGTACAGGCTCCATTAAAGAATATCCATCTGCATACTATAATATCTCTCCATTGATAACGGACCAATAGTGCACTGAGATTAGTGGCTACAGGAATAGGTATTTGCAAAAAAAGATTTGTGTACTTCAATATATATATATATATACATACATACATATATATATACACATACATACATATATATATATATATAGTCATATACACCAATGAAATGTTTAAGATAAAATTCTTGTGTTCACATTGGTTCATAACACATCCTGATATAACTAAACTAATAAGTTTGAGCAGCTGATCTAGCAGTGATTTGGGATCATCACTTAATTGGAGGGTAAAAACAATCAAGGCAGTTTGGGAAAGGAAAGAGCTTGCCACTAAAATAATATATTACACATTCCTTTAAAAAATAATTAGACTTTGATTGTTAAATGTAGCGCAGAATTTTTTTAATTTGATATATACTCTTATTGGCATTGAAATGCATGGTTCATGATGCTACACTTCTTGCACTAACTGTCCTAGGAAGCTGTCCCCCCAACATGGTAAATACTACGGTGATGTTTGAAAGGGATTCTGAGAACCATGAAAATGGAAAAAGGCCAAGGGTGAGAGTCAAGATTGAGAGAGATTAAAGACATAGGGTCATTGGACTATTTGTGTGACTGTGAGCTTCTTTTTAAGTATTTTATTTCAAGTTTGTGTGTTTGTGTGTATCTCCTTTACTTTGAAGAACATCTATTGTGTTTTAGATGGGCATTTGTATTTCAGCTTATGTAATAAAATCTGTTCTGTTTGGTTTGCTCTCAGAAGTTTTTCTTTCTATATGTTAAATAGACAACTTGACAAATAAGTATAAGGATTAAATAAAGGAGCAGTGGATAATACAAAGGCATTTATACTACAAACAAGGGTTTAGAACTTAACTCATTTATAATATCTAGGGGATTGCAATACATTGCCACATTTTAAATGATACCAGAATTCAGTAATAAATTCCAGTTATTTGATTATTGATCGAATCTACACTTTTTGGAGCATTTTGGTTTCCGTTTTGGACCATCAGGTTCAGTTCCTATTCTGTTTTGCCAATTCTAAAATATAGACCTATTGGAGATTCTCACGAGAGATATACCTGAGAAGAAGAAGAAGAAGAAGAAGAAGCGACCACCACATCTGCTTCGGCTGGATTGGACTTCTCCGGATCAGGTACAAAATCGCCGTTCGCCGGATCGGACTCCTGAGCTTCGGAATCGCCTTTCGCCGGCACCGGATCTGCATCTGCTTCCGACTTCGTATATGCTTCCTCCGACGACTTTGGATCCTCAGACGACTTCAGATCAGACTCCTCAGACCATGACTCTCCTTTACGGTAAACCGTATGCCCTGATCGGAGCAGAATAGGCGAAGAAGAAGACACTCTAGAATTCATCAGCCTAGGCCGAAACAAAAAAAGGCCCTAAAATCTTATCCTGGTCTAAAAAATTGACATACGTAAACTAATTATATTTCTAAATTAAAATATATCGACAACAGTATGCACAACACTAACCATAGGCTCAAGATGTTCTTCTAAATTTTCTTCCTCTTCTTCTAAATGTTCATCCTCTTCAACATGTTCTTGCTCTATTTGTAGATGCTCTTCCTCTTTCATCTCTTTTAATTCTACTTCTTCGTCTTCAGCAACAGGTTTCATAAACTTATAAAGAGCTCCGGCTTGAGACTTTCTCATTTCTTCATCTCGCTTTCTCTTTTTTCTTTTTTGACTACCAGATAATTGTTTAGGGGCCATAGCTATTGAATTATTTCTGAATTGAAATCCAAAATCATAAATTCTACTAAGTAAAATCAAAAATAAAAAACTGAAAAAAGGAAGCAAATAAAAAAATGAATATATCATAAATTAATATCAATTAGTCAATTTTTCTTTTTTTAATTGTTTTTTTCTTTATCAGTTTTAATTTTTTTATAAATCATAAATTCATATCAATTTTAATTTTTTTCGATTTTCAATTTTTTTAATATAAATATATAATTATCATAAATAACAAATTCAAATAAATTCATCCAAATCAAATAAATAACATATAGAACCATTCATTCATTCTATTTCAAAGAATGAAATTAGAAAAGATTTTGAATTAAAAACTACTCCGTAAGAATTAACCCTAGATTTTAAATCTATAAAATGAAACAATGAAAGAAAATTAAGATTTAAAAAATAAAAATTACAAAATTGGAAAGGGTAGGCTATGAATAATTACGGAGACGTGCAGGTCGGCGATGCAGCGTCCGGCGGTGGAGGCGGCGACTCCGGCACTCGGCTATCTTGTTTCTTCTGTTCTTCCGGTCGTTTCTGCCTTTCTGGTTCTTCGAATCTTCTATCAGCAGCACTTGCTTCTTCCGTTTCTTTTTTCTTTTTGTCTACATAATACACATGGATTGGGCTAACTTAAGGGATGGGTCATGGGTGGACTGGGCCTGGGCTTATATACATATGTATATATATACTTAACTAGCTAGGGAATGCACTATGTGCGTGGGTGCCCAATGTTACATACTCTGTAAATTATATAAGTGAAGTAATACTCTGTATTACATATATTAGTTATTTTCATCCAAAAGTGTTGGTTTTTAGCAAAATCGGAAAGGGAAATAAGATGGAGGCTCATATTTTGTAATTCCTTCCTCTATCTATCTGCAAATCACATTTTGCAACTTGTATCATAAAGGAAGCATCATAAGCAACAATGTTGCCATACAAAACATTCTCCAAATTCCTTGATGCATTTACTCAACATTGAGTGCACTCTTCATGGTGAGGAAAAAAACCTCACCAATCTCTCTATTTTTTATCTCATCCACATCATTATGCTTTAGTGCAATTTCTTTTTCAATGTTGGGAAAACACTCTCAATGGTAAGGAATTTTTTTCCCTCTCATTAACACTTAAGACTCTCACCTCCTAAGAAAAAAATGTTTCCATACAGAGTGGACTGATAAGTTCACCATTGGGATATATCATATATAGCATAGCAGAGACAAATAGGACAACTTGATGTGTAATGCAGTGGTATATAGCATTTTCCCTTGAATGGCTATACTTCGCCCAAAGCAAAGACAACATGAGATGCATTTTTTTCATTATCACTAATACGGTAATTTTAAAAGCTAAAACGTCAAACAACTCATGGGTAACAAATAACTCAAAATAGCATATGATGATTAATCAATGGGCACCAAACGCCATTTCAATTACCAATTGCAAACGCTCAAAATGTATGACAACTTTGATTCAGTTTTTAGGTAGAAAATAGATGCAAAAAATTACTCGCAGGTGACGCAAGTTTTGTCGAAATAATTCTCAGGTCCCTCTATTTTTAAGAAGACAACGGAGGTCCTTGCATTTTGTTGTAATGACCGGGAGGGGACATTTCATCCAATATTTCATCCATAAACGCTAAAAAATATATTTTTTCCTTAATATTTTATGGTAATAACTCTTAGGTTGCTCCTTTTTTTATTTCTTTGTTATTTTGTTACTCTTTTTTAGAGTGTTTTTTTTAGAATTTCTTCTATAAAATCGTATAAAAATTCAAAATTGTTTGTATGATATAAAAGTTAATGAAATAAAAAAAATTTCTAAAAAAGAAAAAAACGAGTAATGGCAAAATAGGAAAAATGGTAATGGCAAAATAGGAAAATTGCATTTATTAACTCTTATGGATGAAGTATTGGATGGAATATCCCCTCCAAGTCATTACAATAAAATGTAAGGACCTTTGTTGTCTTCTTGAAAATCGAGGGACCTGAGAGTTTTTTCGACAAAACTTACGTCACCCGTAAGTAATTTTCTGCAATAGATGCATCTAAAATTATAATTGGGTATAAAAAAATGGATATCTCAAAACTAAATCAAAGAAGCAATGAAATTACCTTGTGATGACAAACATTCAAAGAAGAAATATACTTCGTAGATCTGCTCTCGAAGCACTCTCTGCTTCTGTTCTTGCTATCCGCCAGGAGACGACGATAAGCTGAGAAGGATTGTTCACCCATTTAAACCCTCAGAATCTCCGAAGATGACGAAAAAATAGAAAAGAAATACGGAGCTTTCAAAAAAAGAAAAGAAGTACGGAGTACTTATTGTATGTAACAGAAAGAAAACGGCAAAAGTACTGACCTAACAAATTAGGGCCTTATTATATAAGGGGAGACATGTACAAACTTGTTACATAAAAAAGGGTTTTGCTTCAACATATGTTATAATATTTAGGGCTTACTCCTTGCTGCCTACTTTATGGAATCTTGGGACTAAGATTTCCATATTTTGATATCACACTAACATTGATGATGGAAAAGGACAAAATAGCCAAGGTGGATAGTCTTATTTCTTCTTTTTTTGCTCGTTATCATGCATTAATCAAAGATAGCAAACATAGTTATAGAATTGGAAATGTAAATTTTAAGAAACTAACTTGAGGTAAATGAAGTCCAAACCATCCCTTATGACCGAAGATTCGTTACAAAGGACCATTTATAGTGCAAAGTGTCCATAATGACCTGTAAAGAGCTAAAATTCTTTCCAAGAGTATCCCTAATTTTTTCAATTTCTTAATAAAAGAAGACTCGGTTGGTGTTTCTCAAAAAAAAAGATTAGGTTTTTGTTAAGAATTATCTGAAAAGTAGAAATATGAAAACTAAGGATATGGAAATACTATCAAAGTAAGGTCATTATTATTTTAAAGACATATTTTAGTACTTCTTAATCTATGTAATATGTATTACAAGATCCTCAGTGTATGAAGAGGAGACCTCAAGAAGAAACATCTAAATTTAGAATTTATGGTCCGTTTGGAAAGGAGAAAAATGACTTCTGGAAGTCATTTTACCCATTTTCTTGTGTTTGGTAAATTTGGTAATTGGGAGTCAATGGAAAAGGACCTAGAGTCAAACGGAAAATGAGGGCTAAAATACGGAATTTGTCTTCACCTTTTCTATTCTGGAAGTCATTTTCCAAGTCTAAAATTCCTGCCTTCCTCTTCCATTATTCCTCTTTTTTCTCTGCTTCTCTCTTTCTTCTCCATTTTTTTCTTTTTCCCTTCTCCCCCCGACCCCTTCTTAAATTTCTATGCTTCTTCTTCTCCCCCTCCATTTTTTGCCTTCTTCTCCCCTTCTTCCCTCCTTTCTTCTCTCCTCACCGCATCTTCCTCCTTGTCCCTACCTCATACCTCAGACAGATCTCCTTGGTAATATTTTAGATGAATTTTAGATCTAAGTTTGAGTCCCAACACACCCAATTCTTGAATTTTAGCTTTTTTCAATAGAGATGTTGAATAAGTGTTTTTTCACAAGATATTTCATAAGAAATTTCAAGGCAGAATATAAGAAAATTTCAAAAGTGCTTTGACACTTCACTATACCATTCAATAGAAACTATTGGTGCGAATACGTTTTTGTGCTATGATAATTGGTTCTTGATTTGCTCATTTTTCAGAAATGAACCAAACAAAAATAGATAGTTTTCATACATACTATCTAAGCCAAACATGGGAAACAGAAATTGAATTCAGGAAAACAAGTCATTTTCCAAACGTTATTATCCAAAAGTTATTTTCCTAGCTAGTTTCCAAACAGACCCTTATTTAAATACGAGTTTTGAAACACACTTGCAACGTAAATCAAAATAAAGGATGATCAATTCTTGGATGTATCTCTGATTGTAAGGTGTGTCTTCCAAAGTCTATGTTATGTTAGAAATGTACTGCACTTATTTGATTTTGAAATTGCAGAATTACATTTAGAAGCAACTAACTCCCTATTTGTAGTATCAAGAAAAGAAGGAATTCATTTCAAAGTTTGAATTTGACTCGATTATAGAAAAGCAAATAGGAGACCTAATTTGCTATGAAGAAACATCTAAGTTTAAAATTTAAAATCAAATACGTGTTTTAGAAAACAGTTCCAAAGTAAATCAAATTAGATATACTTAAAGTATAAAAATAGAGCAAACTAAAGAAAGAACAAAGGGATTTGTATGTACGTGTTTGTTCTTTCAAATGAAAGCATATGCTTTTTTCTAATAACAAACCAGAAATCAAATTTTAAAAAAAATTTTAAAAATTTAACAACTGTAAAATAAATCAAATCTAAAATGCATGCACATCTTAAAGTGATAAAAACAAAAAAAATAAAGGAAGATCAAAAGGCTATGAATGTACTAGTTCGCTAATCTCGTTCGTTATATTGGAATCAATTTCTATTGATCAAATAGACTTATCTACCAATATCTAAGAGTGCTTGAAAAAAACAAAACATAGGCATCCGATGTGAAAACAATCAACTCACAATAGCTCCTAATTCATGAATTGGCAAAATTGAAACAAAAGCAACATTAAATTAAAATAAAAAATAAACAACAATATCATTCCTCAGATGGAGGAAGCCCAAGCAAACCCCCAGGCCTCAAAAAATGTTCCTAAGGAGATGCCTTAAGTGCATTTGATTCAAATTGTCTACTAAATTAAATAAGTAGGAAAAAAATCCAAAAAGAAACATATAAGTTCAGAACTAAAAATCAAATGTATGCTATAAAACACAACACGCAAAGTTTGCATATGATTTAATCTGAAACTTCTAAATAAAAGACCTATATTCTCCAAAATAAAAAAGAGCAATTTTAGAATGAAAATCAAACGAATGCCATAAGACACAACTAAAAAAGGCAAAAAAGAATTTTTATGTACCAGAAGTTTCTTCTTCCTCCACCAAACTTGAAATAAGGGTTATGAACTGAAGAAAGACCAAGAGAGGAAAGAAAGATCAATCCTGCATTAACATCCTGCCAGTTTTCAAGAAGACATGAACAACTGAGAATAAGGAGACTAAAAGAAATAGGATATGTGAGAAAATGGCTAGAATGGAATAAGAAAATGAAGAGGAGGAGGTTAGTGGAGTGGGCGGAAAATAGGGCTATGAAAACTAAAATCAAAACACCAAATACCAACCTACAAGACAAAACAAAAACATGAGATAGGATACATATTACTGAATTTCTCAAAAGTACAACAAAAAAAAAAGAGTAATTGAAATACAAAGAATAAAATAGTTCTAAATTTAGATATTTTTTACTAAACCTAAATTCAGATTCTGAAATCAAGTAAATGTTTTAAAAATTGACTCAATTTTGAAATTGATAGAATTGTAAAAGTCTCTAATTGAAAGTGACTGAACTTTCAGCCGAAGAACCTAATTCAAAAATATGTGAAATTCATTCATCAAAGATAAAGAATAAAAGAAGATGATAATTGATGAATTGAATGATATGAAGAGGTATGGAAAGGTACCAAGAAAGAGAAAATACCTGCGAACCCAAGAAGATGTATGTGAACAACAGGGTTGAGGGATGAAGAAGATATAGGAAGTGTGTTTCGATCGTGGGGCGGTGAGCGGCAAAGAAGCGTGGGGCGGCGAAGGAACAGTGGGCAAGAAGCAATGGACGAGAAGAGGGAGAGGAGAACAATAGAGGAGGCATCAAGAAGGAGAACAGTAGCGGCGTTAAAATTAGACGGAAAAAAAAGCCTAAATTAGGCCCTTATAGTATTATTATATATACTAGCAGGTTACACACTACGTGTGTGTTTGCCCAAGCATGTGTAAGAAATGATTCCATTTCTTAAGACTCAAAGCATGTTTCCATTTCTTACACACCCTAAGATACAGTGTTTAAGTGAACATGAACTTATCCGCAGTTAGTATGCTGTATATTATTTGATAAAAGGGATGGGGATTCAGTATTTTACACGATTAGAGTCATACAACTTATGTGACAAAAAAGTTGAGTGAACATGAGTTAACATATATTTTACAGACAGTTAAGGCTAAAACTTATTTGACAAAATCTGAAAATGATCTGCATATGGGTTAATGATGTGTTATCAGCTCATTTTCATTACGGATAGTAGTTTCATTACTGAAGCCAGATACTTTCAAATTGTTTTTTCTTTTCCCCTTTCTCATGTCAAGCATCTTTGCTTTCAGCTCTTTGTTTTCTCTTGAGAAGTGCACTGTTTGTGTGTTGGTAAGAGAGTTGATGGAGGCACAATAATGAAAACATGGTATCTCCTCTTTGGTATGTGGCTTGTTGTAAGTTGATAACACCTTTTTACTATACAGGGATACACACCCTATGTTGAGGGAATTAGACATGACCAGTATTCGGTGGTTCTAATTATTTTTAAGTACAAAAGTTTAAAAACCACATAAATAAAACTGACTGAAAGAATGTAATCTAGGAGTAGAGAAATTTCAGTATAAACCTGATTGTATGATCCTGCCACATAAGAGATGGGTGTTTTTTCTGAATAGGTGGAGATGTTGTTGTCAGTATTGGAGGGACGGAAAAAAGGCGATACTAACGGCAGCAAACTTCATACGCTCTTATAATATAAGGGGGGATATATATACTAGCATGGACACACACCTTGTGTGTGAGTGCCCAAACTTATTGAGTAATCTACCAAATTTTTTTGATACTCCCTCCTCCACAAATAAACTTTACATTGTACGTTATGATGTTTGATTGAAGTTATTTTCAAATCATTTTATATGAAAAATGGTGTAGAATTGAAAAATAAAAATTACATATTAAAAAACTATATCAAAAGATCTACAAAACTAGAGATGACATGACTATATTATTTTATCAGATGGGTGACGAAAATAGGCCAACAAAGTAAATAAAGTTTGACCCTGTGAATAGTGAACGTAAAGTTTATTTGTGGACGGAGGGAGTATATCATAGGCATAGTATTTTATTAAAAGGATAGGGATAGGTTTACAAAATTTGAAGTGATCACTTACACTTCATGTATGTTATGTGGCTAACCTTTGAGTTCTAACATAGGGATTGTTCTACAAAAATTGAAGTGATAGGGTGCACTTCATTTTTGATACGTACGAAAGTTACATATCGATTCCTACTTTGTTGGGATACTTATGTTTTACAAGAACGGTAGGAATATACATATAGGTCAAAAAAGTTTCCAACTTCTAGAGCATTTGCTAAGCTTTTTTTTTGTGGACTTCCTCTTCAATCTTCAGCTTTCTCTTTAATGTTGATGTGCTTGTTTTCTTTTGAGAGATGCTGTAGAGGCTTAGCAGTGAGTACATTTTTGATGTCTGTGTTTCATAACTGATTGATGTTTGTTTAATGGCAGCAATGACTGTGACTGATTGAAGGGTCCCTGTTCAAATTCAGAGTATCGATTGTGTCAAGCGTTGTATTCTATTCGAGCATCTTTAATATTTTCTGGAGCTCCTTGGTGAAGAGGGTGACCTATATAGCATCTCTATCGTCACTTATCTCAGCTGCCACTCTGAATCTGCGAACATTTGCATGGAGAAAGTGTGTACATAACAAATAAAGTATTTATGAAGTTTGTATATAAAAAGGACATTAGAGATTGTAAAATATTAATATTTTGAAAGATTACGCAATTAGAATACTTACCTCTTTGCAGTTGCTGCCTCTTCGTCTCCACACTACATGCACTTAAAGGTAATACCTTCTCTGAAGTGCACTTTTCGATTACAGGTGCTACATCCGATGTTCAGTGTTATTGGTTCATTCTCAAGGAGTTGTAATTCACCTTCAACCCAGTACATGTGTTCATGTGCAAATATGTGGACATCGTCATCTTTTGGCGCAAACATTTGATAGGAACTTAAAAGATGGTGATTAAAGCAATGTGTATAGGACCTGATTTGCTGTGTGTATGAGGCCTGAAATGCTTATTTTTTCAATCTCTTCAGGACTACTGAAAGCAGGAAGAGGATCTTCAAATTTTTTTGTTTCGAACGCATGCTCTATTGTGACAGCATTTGAACATTTCCTGGATGGCATGTATTTGTTTATAAAAGTCATTTTTAAAATTAATAAGATGTCAGAATAGTTAAACATACGTACCATTCTTCTAGAGATGCCGCAAGAGATATGGATGGGTTAAGTTCGATTGATGAATCGTGACGTGTTGTTAATGACATTCCTGTTTGTTTGTGTATGTAGTAGAGAATGAGATGTGAATCGTAGAAGGAGGAGTATATGTGTGCATAAGAAAGGTAATGTTTACCTTGGAAAGAAGTTGCCAGTACCCTCTTTGTGAGTATCGTTGGATAGGTACCTGATTCGAGTGCCTTTTCGATTTCACTGCCCTGAATGCTTGCAAATTTGTCCCACATTGTCAAAGTTATTGCTTTGCATCTGCATGAGTTGAACATTGTCAATGGTGTGTGAAAGTGTAATGTATGTGGGTACATGTTTAGGTTTGTATGCATATGTTTAGTTCTTTTGTTTTTCTTACAGAGATGGATTATGGTTGAAGTAGTTAGGAAATGCAACCCAGTAGAAACAGAGAATATGGAAAGAAAAGAAAGAATCATTAAAATAGACTATAGAATGCTACAGACAATGAGAAAAAGCTAAGAATGTTGCATTGGTTTTCTGTTGACGACATGTTGCACACATAATTGTAGAGAAAATAGTGACTATAAATCAGGTATAGAACAATGGACAAAATTATACAGAAAATAAGAGCAGCATTATTAGCTCTTACTCTATTTAATGTTCACAGGTTAAGATAAGAAATATTGTTGTAGCTGATGAGAATGATGTTCAAATATTGATAGTCCATAGAAGTTTCGAAAACAATAAAAGTGGAAGGGAATGGTCATTGGCAGTAGTTATGTATTCTATTGACCAATAGAAAATAACCGAGTGCAGTAGTTATGTATTCTACTAACCAATAGAAAATAACTGAGTGCAGTAGAAAATAACCGAGTACATACCAAGGGAGTCGACGAACAAGTTCTTGTGATGAAGAAGGATCACGAATAGTGGTTTGTCACATATGGACACCATACATAATAAAGTGTTTATATGGAGTAATGAAGTGTTTATAATGTGTGTGCTTCAAAGTCTAGACACGTAGCTAGATTTCAAGTTTTTTTACCTAAATAAAATTTAGAATGTAAACACATGTGGATGGAGTGGGAACGATTTGATTTTTTAGAATAAAAAGCTATGCTTATACAAAGAATTCTAGGAAGTCAAAAAATTGATAATCAAAAGTATAGAACAACACACTTCTACCTATGAATCCAAACCAAGGCAATTCAAATCAATTTATATGAACACTGAGCATTTGAATTCATCAATAGTATACAGGAGAACACATGTACATATGAATCTAGTAGGCCTAAAACTAAGAAAGTGCTACTTTAATGTCTTCCATTAAAGTACTGTTAGAGAATTCATGCATATAATTTTGAATTCGGAATTGTAGATGTTTCATTTGAAAATCAAGGTTTCTATTTAAATTTTTTGAAACATTTAATCCTTTTTTTGTTTGTATTGCTTTTAGAAATCTGAAATGTGGCACCACTGCCTATGAATCCAGTAGGCCTAAAACTACATTTTCAGAAATCATCCCAAACTTATTATAAATAAAATGTGCAAATACTGTTAGAGAAGTCAAAATACATGTAAAAGTTGGTACCTGAGCTGAGAAATGCAAAAGGAAATAAAAGTTAAGAACAGAACTCAAAATTTTGGTGAAAAATTATTATTGGGGAGTATGCAGAAAACTCCAAGTGAACAGATGATGTGCAGAAAATTATGAGCCCTAGAACACAATGATCCATTAACAAAAAGTGCTCCGCAGGGGCTTTGAAATAACCTTAACGAAATCAAACAGGTACAAATTTGAAGTTTATGATGTATGAAGATATGAAGATGTGTGAAGAAGATCGAAATACCTGGTAAACGAAGAAGAAAGCGGTGGGCGGAGAAAGAGGCCAATAGCATTCGTCCTCGTGGGGAGTACACAACGACCAGGAAAAAAGCGTGAACAGTAGCTCTGTTAGAAAATAGACGGAAAAAAGACGGAAAAAAAACGAGGGTAACCCCCTAAGCCGCTTATATTATTTAGGAGATACGGTGTGTGTGTGTGTGTGTAGGGGTGGGTTCTCGTGAGAATCAATCTTGGTGAAAGAAATGAGAATAAATTATATACGTTGATATGACAAATCTAAGGGCTTAGATTACACCTTAAGGTTGACGCAATTGACTAATGATTATGGTAATTAATAACTTATGGCCATCAAATTTGGAAGATATTAGTTGCCCAGGGACACTATTGTCAATTTGGTTTGCACGCAACCCGCTATTAAATCATGCCCATTGTGTAACTTTATTTTGCCAACTATTATTTCCTTAAAAGGTGGAAGATATGTACACTACATTTATTTTGCCCACTATTATTGCCTTGGTGGATATTATCATGTTTATGATTTTATTTTTTAGTTTTGTGATCCATTTACGTTCAAGAACATACATTTATTTTATGTAATAAACATTCTTGGTATATTATGTTTCTCATTTACTAATTTTTACTGCATTTATCATGATGCACTATGACTGTTGATGTATGCATTATGTATTGTAATTTGTCCTTTAGATTTCATTCAAATTGTATACTATTAATTTGTGCATTAGTCAATAATAGTTTCAAAGTAACATTGTATGTTATAAAAAAGCCGTAGAATGCATTTTATTTAAAGCAAGTGTAATAAAAATTTAAGTGCGAGATTCGAACTCACATCTGTAGTAAATACCGCTCTACCATTTGAGCTAATAGGCAAAGATTTATTTTTTTAAAAAGAAACTCACATATTTCGCTTTGACTTCTTTAATACAAATTTTAATCTTTCTAAAATTGGCATCATTCAACGTGTTTATAACTCATATTCATATGCATCACAAAACATTTTAAATGCATCATTATTTGGAGAAAATTCAATATCTAGAATATATAGATGCATCATATTTGTGTCCGAAGAATTTCACCATCAATGTATCAACTTCGATTTTGAGAGTGCATATTAAGAGAATACATTATCCTTTTGACTAAATTTAGAGAATGCACTGTCTTCTCATGTAAATGCATTATATGAGTTCTAATAATGCACTATAACATGAAAAGACAAACAAAAAAGCAAAATAGATCAAAAAACACAATGCAACAAGCTTGAAAAACCAAACTAAACTATATTATAATCTGAATGAATTATGTTCCAATGCTTTTACACATTCACACTTTGCCAAAAAGTAGAATCCCTATTAGCCATACCCATTCAATTTTAATTCCATATTTCCAAAAAAAACTAAAATATGCAAAATTGAAATTGCAAACACAAAGCTTTGACACATCCAATCCTCAGAATTTTCCAAGAGATTTAACAGCAACATGATCAAAATAAAAATGTACTAATTATCAATGTAACTAAAATCACATGCATTCTCTTATCTTGTTTTGTCATTACTCGATTTCTCTTTGGAAAAATGCTTACCAGGTCCAAAAAAATCTTTAACCAATGGAAGAATACACTCTTGTGCTAAAAAAATATTTTGGTTCAAAACATTCTGCGCTCGATGCTTTGTGTGCAAGAGAAGAATGCACCACCATAATAAACAAATGCATAGCATATTCAATAACTTAAGAAAATCAAAATTGCAAAAACATAACAGTCAATAGGTTAGACCACACAACTTTTATTTGAAAAACTAAATTAAAGTTTTTCAACAAGGAAGGCTCACCACGAACATCCAATATTGATGTTTGATGGTCCCAATTGAGTAAAAATTTGGAAATTGAAAATAAAGCTAACAATACATACTGAGATACAAACTCTAAAGGTTCATCAGAGGGCACCGATGAATTGATGCAACCCATCCAAGGCATTTCTAATTAGTTACCAGCCGCACCCAAAGTTGCCATGTCCTTGCGAAGCTTCCATGATGTCAAACGACGGGTAATCAGTGAAGTCGTGAAGCCTAGGCCACCGCCGAAAAAGGAATTGGTGAGCGAGAACTCTAGAGATAGTGACATGATTTCTAGGAAATGAGTTAAAATGGAAATGGTGGAGATGAAGAAAACATACTAGAGAAACAAAGCTAGTGGCTGAAAATCAGGAAGCAATCCATGATTAGGTAGAGGAGAGAGAAAGTTAGAATGCAAATTACTAAAAGATCCTTTAAAAAGTCTCCAGCACGTGATAATTTTAGCAATGATCGGACGCACGAAATTTATTCTCACTTCTTTCTTAAGATTGCATTCTCACATGAACCAAAACATATATATATATATATATATATAGGAGAGAAAAAAATTTGTGCCCCTCGAATTTTTGGGCCCGGCCCGGACGAACACCTTGTCCCCCTATTGGGCCGGCCCTGCTCTAGGGGGTGGCGGCGGGGGAGCAGCCTTTCTATTTAAGTGAGTTCTCTGTTTCCTAGGAACCTAATCAATTTTTTTACCATAACATGTCTACCATGCCTGATAATCGATTATCACCAACAAATAATGGATTATATGCCAATTCTGAACCCAGGGGCAAATTTTATGGTACATCCAGTTGTACCTTCCTTTAGGTACAGCATGATATTTTTGTAAATTTTGCAAACTTTTTATCCAATGCCCAGAACTTAACTTTATTTTCAAGCAATGCATTCATTTCATCATGTACATCCTAGACGCATGTTTTTGGATCATGGCATACTTGCATACCGCGACAAGAGATCATGCCTAGTGCGCCAGGAGGGCTTGTGCCTAGTACGTACATGGTAACTAGGCTTCAATTACCACCCACATTATCTAGTCTCCTTCAAGAAGACTAAGGCGTTCCTCGACTCATCTACCGCGTGGGGATGATCACCGAAGGGCAGGGGGTCCCTGTGCAGTCTAACTCATGCATCATGGATTATTTGGCATTGCATTATTCTTTATTTGCAACTCTTATTCATCAAACTTGTATGTGGTATCTCGTACTTTAATACATGTACAATTATGTTTATATTAATGTGAACGCACTACGCGTTCTACTGTTAGATTACCACTCAGCTTATACTGAACGTATAGCTTTGTTTTTCTATACGCAGGTAGGAGGGATGATCATGGAGCCTGACCCGATGATTGGGAAATCGGGGCGGCGGATAGACGACAATGTGAACCTGACTATATTATCCATTTTATAATATAACTGTTTTTGTCTTGAACCCACCGTCGCACTTACTTTACTTAAGACTTAACATTTGTTGCTTTCATTCACTTCTGCTATGAAACATTCCCTTTAAGGGAATTTATTCATATCATTTAATAGAACAAATCAATGGTTTTCTGTTACAAGAGTAATGCAAGGGTTTCTCTGTAGATGGTCCTAAAAACTGTCTACGTAACCCCTCTGGCTCGTTGGGCCGCGGCGAACCGGGTTCGCGGGACGGAGGGTGTTACAATCATAGTTTTTTTCATACAATTTATTTCTTTGCAGTTGTCTATACGGTGAAATTCCATAAAAGAGGGTTGTCGCTTGCACACATCCTTCTGTTCTTGGGATAAGGGGATAAATTCCATACACTAAAGGACATTGATTAAATCATTTCTACTGAGTTGCCAAACGAATACATTGATCTAGAGTACTTTAAAGCACTTACAGATTTTATGCTTCATGGACCTTGCGGGAACGATGGTAGAAATTCACCTTGCATGAAAGATGGGAAGTGTTCAAAATACTTTCCTAAACAATTTAATGAGAAAAGAATCATTGATGATGATGGATACCCAAAATACAGGAGAAGGAATAATGGTAAAGTTGTCACAAAGAATGAGGTTCTGTTGGATAATAGGTTTATAGTTCCCCATAACCATGATCTATTACTTAAATACGGTGCTCATTTGAATGTTGAATGGTGTAATTAGTCACGGTCCATCAAGTACATATCCAAGTACATCAATAAAGGCCATGATTGTGTGACTACTGGATTTTATGAAAGTGCATCTAATGGAACAAATTCTATAGGAGATGAAGCAGATGAAGTCAAGCTTTACTATGATTGGAGATACATATCTCCTTGCAAAGCAACTTGGAGAATCTTTGGATATCCAATGCAATTCAAAATCCCCGTTGTTAAACGATTAAGTTTTCACTTACCCAGCATGCAATGGATTATCTTTGAAGTTGAAAATGATGCTACTGAAGTATATTGGCGTGCGAGCATACAAGAGAGTTAATTTCTTGCATGGATTAAAGAATATGAAGCCTACCAAGATGCAGAGACTCTTACATAGCTGAATTTCTACAAAGATATGTTTGGAAATCCGAAAAAAGAGTACTGTCCACGAAAAAGTGGATTTGCAATAGGCCGAGTTGTATATGTTCCATCAGGATCAGGGGAGACTTAGTACTAGAGGTTGTTTTTGAATATAGTTCGTGGTCCTACATGTTATGATGATTTGAAAACAATTGATGGCTACAGTTATGGTGGTATAGGCAAGACCTTTGTGTGGAAGACTCTTTCTGCCTCTTTACGCTCTAAAGGTGAGATTTTTTTAAAATGTTGCTTCAAGTGGTATTGCGTCATTTCTACTTCATGGGGGAAGGATTGCGCACTCACGATTTGGCATTCCCATAAGTCCGCATGAAAGTTCCACTTGCAATACTAAACACGGAACACCGCAAGATGAGTTACTGTGGCAAACAAAATTGATTATTTGGGACGAGGCGCCGATGACCCATAAGTTTTGCTTTGAGGCACAGTATAGAACTTTATGCGATATTATGTCAGTGCGAGATCCAAAGAATGCAGAGATTGCATTTGGAGGCAAAACAATTGTATTTGGAGGATATTTTCGTCAGATGCTACCGATCATACCTAAAGGATAAGACAAGATATTGTTAATTCAACAATTAATTCTTCATATATCTGGCAGTTTTGTACCGTGCTACATCTCACTCAGAACATACGTTTACAACACATGGCTCATGACAGTTACTATGAAAGTATGATGGAATTTGCTAAATGGATAACAAGTATTAGCGATGGTCTTGCTAGATGTTATGATGTTATGGATGTTATGATGTTAATATTCATAAAGATATGATTTTGCAAAATACAGGTGATCCTATTGTAACAATTATTCAAGCCACATACTCAGATTTTGACAACATAACAAAAGACCCAAATTACTTGCAACAAAAATCATTCTTGCCCCAACATTGGATGTGGTGGATGTTAGAAATGATTACATGACATTCATAAACTGTGTTGGAGAAGCAAAGACATATCTGAGCTCAGAAACTGTTTGCAAATCATATGCGAATGTTGATGCCATATTTGACATGCACTCCCTAGAGTTTTTAAACAACATAAAGGCATCTGGTGTGCCCAGCCATAAAATTAAATTAAAGGTTGGGACACCAATTATGTTGTTGAGAAATATTGACCAAGCTATATATGGATTTGTGTAATAGAACGAGACTCATTGTCACAAGATTGGGTAACCAATTAGTTCAAGAGAACGTGATGACTGGTAAGAATGCCGGGCACAAGGTAGTGATTCCACGTCTTTCACTCACGCCTTCGGATACACGCATTTCATTTAAATTTCAGAGAAAACAATTCCTGATAATGGCATTCTACGCAATGAAGATCAACAAAAGTCATGTCCAATCATTGAAGCATGTCAGATTACTACTCAAGAAGCCAGTTTTTCGTCATGGTCAATTTTATGCTGTTGTCTCTCGCCTAACCAATCGTTCTGGGTTGAAGGTCTTAATTTGAAAGGATGATGAAACAACTATGAATACCACAACAAATATCGTTTTAAAAGGAGTTTTGCAAAATCTTTAAACTCTTTAATAGAGTAGTTCTTTTATTGATTTTATCAATATTTGCATGTATTGATTTCAATGCTTGGGAATCAATTATGTTCTTGGATATTCGTCATTCCAAAAATGTAAAAAGTATAAAAGCATGCTACATGTACCCCAAAATTTTCACTGACACAAAGTGTTAGTACGTTAACAAAAATTAGCATGACACCAACACAGAATGTTAGTGCATTCATGCAGTGTACAAAATAGGATAGGAATTCTTGGGATACAATTAACTTTATCCAAAGATATAGTACTATAAATTTATCAAATTTACAATTCGTGCAAATCACAACTCTTGTTCGCAACCTCAAGGAGATTCTGGAAGCATAGGAGGCGGTGGAGGTAGGGTTGAATAAGACCCACCGATTTAGGCCATTTCCGCACGTAACCCCGTCGTCGATCGTCTCTCCGCGAACGCGGCCTAAACCCTATTCTGTATCCAAATCCAACCTGAAAGCGATGCCTGGTTTAACCTGCAACGCCTGCAACAAAGAGTTCCATGACGAAGCGGATCAGAAGCTCCATTACAAGTCAGAGTGGCACCGTTACAACCTCAAACGCAAGGTTATACACATATCCTCTTCTCGTTCCTCCATTTCCAGCGTATTGAATTTCAGATCGCACTGGCCTTCTCCTAATGAAATCTACTGGCCATATAATGAAAATTTTAGATTATAGATATCGATCTATCTGAAATATTGCGCAACAAATTTAAATCGCAAAAACTTGTTGAATGTTCATTGCGGTACTTTGAAATTAGGTTGTAAGATTACTTTTTAGCATTTGCACAACATTTGTTTGTGGATTTGGAGGAAGTTTGCACTACTTGCGTTCTGCCTAAGTGCTTATATTTCAGAGGCTAGGTCTGGTATACTTTTCCTAGCTGATTATTGGAAAAGTTAGAAAAGCATATTGTTTATGGAATGGAGAGGGGGGTTGGGAGTAAGATAATGCAACTGATTGGTATGATCAATATGCTTTTTAGCGTACATTGAGATGTCATTTCCATCCCTGTTTTGTGTTATGAGATGTTAGCAGTTTATTTTTTTCCTCCAATGACTTTTTCATTTTACAGAACAGCACAACTTTTTCATTGCTCGCTAAGTTCTTTAGTTTTTAATTCATTTTATTTACCGACTGCATGTGTTTCAACTTTCAATGGTTATGAGACTTCCTTGGCCTTGAGGATCATATATTTGAATGATTATATTGTTTTTTTTGGGGGGGGGGGTGCTATATTTATGTGTACTCATTGGGGTTTGGGGCACGAGTTTTGTATGTACTTTTTGTAATATTCCTCTTTTGGGCTCTGGTGGTTAGAGTTTTTTTAAAATGCAGATTAAATCAAAGGAAAAACAATTAAGTTCTGTTAATTATGTTTATGCTCTTAGAATTGAAAGTTAAAATCTAGATGGTATTGATCTAACCTGGTTTGAAAGAAGATGAGGATGTCTTAGGGTATGTTACTGGGGCTTTCAGCTCATTCAAACACATTGAAGCATTAAGTGCGTATTAAAAAGCATGCTTCAAAGAAATGAAGGTGGTTGCGCTACTTGCAACACTGAGGATTTTGAAGCTGAGCCCTCAAGGCTATATTTTCTCCCCTCACAGTGAGGCGCACCTCAAGTCACTTTTAAAACACTTTATTAAGCAATGAAAGAAATGAACAACTTATTTTTTAAGATGTCCTTTTTTTTGGTTAATGAGAGTCAAGTTTACCTCGAGGTGTGTTTTCTTTAACATGTTGGACAGACTCTAAACAATACTTAGCTTCTGGAAATGGTTGTCTATCTATGCATTATTACTTAAGAAGATTGCCAGAGTTTTCATCTCTTGCTCATAGAGCATTGTATGTCATATTGAGACATTACAGATGATGAATTATGACTCATAGAGAAATATGACCAAATGACATTCAAAATTTATAACCTCCCGTGTGGGATTGTATTGGTTTTTTTAGGGATTATGATCATACAATAATAGAACCAGATGTTAGTTCAGGGGAATGTTAAGGTTATATAAATGTTCACCCCTTCCTCAGACACGGGATAGTGGAGCTTGTGTTCAGTGTGCCTTTTCCAAAGTTAAAACATTAAGTTTCATTTAAGTTTCTGAACTTCTGATAGGGAGTTTGGAAATGACGAAGTTGCTTTCTAAATGGAGAGTATCTTTCAATCCGTGAAGTGCTGAAGTTTACAATTTCCAGCCATTATTTTTTATATCATTATATGAAAACAATTATTTCAGTTTGGAGAATGACAAGGCAGCGAAACTGGAGATTGAGCATTTGGCCATCTGTAGAAGTAAATAAACTTCAAAAACAATTGGTCTCAATAGACAGAGAGTAATTGTTTTTTAGGTTGAAATGAAGAAGTTTAAAGGGATATCATGTAGCTGCATTTATTGACCTAAGTGTTTTTAACCTGAAATTGAGTCCGAGGTCTGGGCATGGTAATTAAGTTGGCCTTTTAAGCCATATTTCATGTAGGAATACTGGACAGCATTCTCTTTAGTAAAAAGTATGCTACATGGAATTCAGATATTATTTGGATATTCTTTAGAGAGCCGGACAAGTTTGGCATCTAAGGCATTTATGAACACCTAAGATGCATGCTATACTATAGGGATTCCCAAGGTGTAGTGATCTGATGGACCAAACAGTACATGTTGGCCATAAATTGATCCTCAATTCATTATCTAGCAAGATTTTTAGTTTTAAATTTTCCCTAGGCACCGACATTTACAGTCACATTATCTAGCAAGATTTTTAGTTTTAAATTTTCCCTAGGCACCGACATTTACAGTCACATGTCATGCCGGCATGTGCTGGTTTGCTGTACACGTAGTCCATTTGTTTTTCTTTATTGAATAAAATGCTTAGATTAGTGATTTATCTATCACCTGTATCTTTTTATGAGTTGATATGAAATGGTTGTGTATGGTTGAATGTATGTTTACTAATTCTTCATCTCACCTGTATTTATCACACAGGTGGCGGGAGTGCCAGGTGTGACAGAAGCACTTTTCCTTGCTCGACAGGCTGCCCTTGCAGAAGAGAAGAAAAAGTCTGAGACCCCCATGCTATATAGATGTGGCGTGTGTAGTAAAGAGTACCGCAGTGCCAAGGCTCATTCTCAACATTTGGAATCAAAGAGCCATTTGTTCAGAGCTTCTCAAATGTCAAATCACAATACTGAAAGCAATGTTATAATCAGACCGCTTCAACACCCAAATTTGGGTAAATCCACTCAGCGGATAGAGAAGGAAGATATCAATGAAAGCGATGAGAGTGAGTGGGAGGAGGTTGATCCCATGGAAGAGGAGTCTCTGATGCATACCTCAAATGGCAACATGGAAGAGGAAGATATGGATGAGGATGACTTGAGTGAAGAGCTGGATCCATCTTGTTGCTTCATGTGTGATTTAAAGCTTAGAACAATAGAGAAGTGCATGGTTCACATGCACAAACAGCATGGGTTCTTTATTCCTGATGTTGAGTATTTGAAGGACCCTAAAGGCTTTTTAACCTATGTTGGTCTCAAGGTATATCTGTCTGCTTATAGTTTTAATGCCAGCTTATAATTTTGATGTCCTTTTTGTGTACTTCTAAATTTCCAATGGTTCATGTTACAATTTTGTTGCTCATAATTACAATTGTCTTCATCATAGTTATATACTTGTATAGCTTATTATTGCTGACACAGGTCAGGAGAGATTATTTGTGTCTCTATTGCAATGAAAGGTGCCATCCTTTCAGCAGCTTAGAAGCAGTCAGGAATCATATGGAAGCAAAAAGCCATTGTAAGGTGCACTATGGTGATGGTGGTGATGACGAAGAAGCAGACTTGGAAGAATTTTATGATTACACCAGCAGGTACAATCTTTTATACGCTATAGCTTTCTATGTTACTCCTCACGTCGCATAAAAGGATTGTGCATTTTGGAAAAGCGCAATTGTTAGTATCTAAATTATATTTAACACACTCAAACTTGTTTGATATAGTTTTGAACAGAATTTGCATTAATTTAGATGAAAATGAACTTTTTTTTGTTGAAATATGACTTTCTCGGGATAAGCAAATGTTTTGAAGATATTTTTTGGATATGGATTCGTTTTTATCTACTCCACTTCATCCCAAACACACACTCTTTATTATTATAATTTATTTTTTATTGTTATTATTATTATTATTATTATTATTAGTATAAGTATTATAATTATCATCATCATCGTAAGCCGGGGGTCTCTTTGGAAATAGCCTCGCTACTTTGAAGTAGGGGTGAGGTCTACGTACACACACCCTCCCCAAACTTCTTACTCTTGTGGGATCCAACAGGGTTGTTGTTTCATGATTATCATCACGTGGATTCAACCATCTATGAAACATGCTCTTTGATTTGTCTTTTTTTTTTTGAATTTCCTAGCTACGTGGATGCCAATGGGAAAGAGCTGGTTGTGTTAGATGACACCAGTAATGGAGTTGAGCTCAGTACTGGTGGAGCAGAGCTAATAATCAAGAAAAGAACAGAGAATGGAGTCTCTACCAAAACACTTGGATCTAGAGAATTTCTGCGCTATTACCGCCAGAAACTCAGGCCCAGCCGGGATGGCGATATCGCTCTTACCGCTGCATTAGCTTCCAGGTTCATGTTTGGCATATCATTTATTTTGGGCCATATATGTTTGAGGAGTCCAAAAGCTCATTTATCTTGCTTGCTTATGAAAAATGATTCTTAAAACTCGTTTCTGAAACCGCCTCCAATTCTCAAACCCATTCCTTCACCCCAACCCCCTCTGGTTCGGCAACCATTAGAACGTCATTCTCCTGGTGTGGCTGATAGGCTACAATCCAAAGTCAAACCAAACAACCATTAGAATCCCATTCCTTATTCCGTCCTGTCACCTGAAGTATAACTCTATGTCCCTTTAGTTAGTCTAAAGATGTTTTTCATCTATGTAGACTATGAAAAGCGATGCAAATTTGTGTCTTTCAGGTATAGAAGCTTGGGGCTAGCAACTGTGCAGTCGAGAGAGAACATGGTTCAGATGAAGTTGCTGAAGGCCATGAACAGATCTGGTCCGGAGGTCATGCGCACTAAGATTGGTATCAGAAACAATGTCATCCGAGTCCTCCCCAAGAACGTACCCTACTAAACCTCAGAGATGTATTGCATTTTCATGCAAGTCACACTCGTTCTTTGTGTTTGTCAAGTGAGCTGAACGACTTTCCTGACTATGAAACTCGAACCTTTGATGGCTTTTATCCAGTATGTGTGCTGCTGCACCTGTCCATGAAAGTTGCTACATATTGAATTCTCGTTATATTTTGTTATTTACCAATTTACCAGCTATAACCGGCGAATCCGTGGTACTCCTTTGCATCTTCATTTTCACAAAATTACTGTTTTGTATATCACAAACCACACCCTCCAGCGTCTCTATTGCGATGAAAGGTGTCATCCTTTCGTCTCATAACAACTTCTATTGCAACGAAAGGTGCCATCCTTTTAAAGGGTATTCTTGCAAGTGAGAAGTTGTTATGTGGGACGAAAGGAAAAAAATTTGTTTTTCACGGAGTTCAAGAAAATACGGAGTATAAATGAGTGTGGTTGAGCTTATTTGGGTGGAAATGTATACTTCGAATGTGAATTTATTTCATTTATCTCGAATCACATTGACTTTTATAAATTCTAATCCCATGGTACTTGGTATTGTTTAAACTATTACTACTCCACCCTTTTGATTTTTGAAGCTTTGAACTTACCACAAATGATTTAATTTAGGGGTTGTATGGTGTAAAGTGAAAACATCTCTGTGAGGGTGCGTGTAGTCTTGGGAGATTTAAATGGATGGCAGAAGTATTTTTTGGGACTAATAAAAAGTGAAAATGGAAAGGTTTTGTGAGACATGGAGTATTAAGTAGCATATGGTTCATCAATCTCAATAATTAAATCATTTAGTAATATATGCTTGTGAAGTTGACCTATATCCTTGATAAGCTTTTAGCTTTGTTTAATACAATAAAATAAATTGTGAAAGCCCTCAACTAGATAAATTTAATAATTTTATATTAATACTACGTATACATTATAGTTTTTGTTTAATTGTAGTTTAAAGTTTATCATGTTTGACTTAAAAATGTTAAATTAGACAAATACATTATGTTAAAATAGGGAAAATGAATGATGAACCAGTTTAACAATTCTTAATATGTTATTGACAAAAATCAAATATGACAACAATATTTTGATCTTTTGGTAATGATAGTTGTACGTGTTAAAAGGTTTCATGTTTAACTTGACACAAAAAAAGTGAAGTTAGATAGTTGAAATTGATGTTAAGGGAAGAAAAATTTTATGGTCTACAAAAATAATTTCAAAAATAGATAATGAAGCGTTTTTGGGGATAAATAAAAAAGGAAATATGGAATTCTTTTATAAGTCAGAGGAAGTAATATGATATATGACTTGACACGGAGATTAAGAAAAGTAAAACCGAATAATTGAAAATGGTGTTGAAAAGAGAAATTTTATGGATCCCAAAAACGAGGCGGAATCAATACGTTGGAGAATCATTCTCCATGTTTTTTTAGTTCTAATAAACGCATGATGAACGAGATTTAACTGAAGCAAATAAATGAAACATCCAAATTCTAAAACTATTTTTAACACGTAACTAAACAAATGAGGTATGGAACCACCCAAAATTTCATGGTAAAAGATAGCATATTTCCATTGTGAGTCACGGTTGGCAGTTGGAGACTTAAGACTAATTTTCAGGGCGGATTTAGGAATTTAGCTAGATACGGGGCCTTATTCAGTTAGAGACTTAGGACTATTTTTCAGGGCAGATTTAGGAATTTAGCTAGATATAGGGCCTTATTGGTCGAGATCCGGAGGTAGTGCTCCTGGTTTTTTAATAGGCAACATGAAATGAAAAAATAATAAATTTTATTTTAAATATTTATAGAATATGAAACGTTTTTAATAGAGAATGTGGAATTTTAATGTATAACCAAGGCTACATCTACCCGTGCTATATTTCCTTGATAAGCTACCTTTGTCAAAACCAATTCGACACATTTTCATGGAGTTTGGAGACTCTGGGTCTGTTTGGGAATATCGTTCGAAATTAACGTTAACGTTTTGGATAAAATTTTAATGGTACAGATTATTTTCAAAACGCTAACAATAATCTCTAATGATATTTCCAAATAGGCCCTCTAAAATATAGCTCTCAACAGTTCTGAATCGCTGAACAACTATGCGTCTAGTATCTCGTCAGACTATGTGTAGCGCTCCACCACCACTCATTCCAAATTAGCAGTCACTCAGTGTCACGTCAGTGCTGACTGTATTCATCATCTTACTTACTTTACACCCGTAGTTCTTACTCCCACTATAATGATTACACTTATTTTTATTTAATATTAACATATTTTTACTCAAATTAGAAATTCTATCTTTTAAAAAAGAATAAAAGACATACTTTTTTATTTTGGGGTTTATAATTTTTTCGTTTGGTTCTTTTCTTTCAAGTTTATTACTCCCTCCGTCTGAAAAAGATTGGAACATTTTGACTAATGTGGTAAAATAAGGAGTGATGAGTAGATTTTTAGGAAAAAGGTATGATGTGATAGGTATGGTATGAAAAAGTAAGGGGTAAAAGTGGTTTTTTAATAGAAATGGAAAGGACTTTAAGGGACGCAAATTTTTCGAAACATAACAGACTTTTTGGGACGGAGGGAGTATTACTTATCAAGTTTATTTTCGGTTAATTTTTTTTTGTTTTAGGTTATTTCTTTCCAGCGTAATTTAAAAATAAAGCATAAGAAAAACGTAATTTATACTTAAAACGTGTTTCCTTCAAAAATATAGAAATCATCCTAAATAGGACTAAAACATAGAGAAAAGTACTAAAATAAGACTTTCATGTTTTTTTTCCCGGAATAGGACTTTGCACTGTGGTAATGTGACTTTGCATTGTGGTAATGTGGCAGTGTACATGTGCAAATTACTATACTTTTTTGGTAAGGTATATGACCATGTTTGGTAATGTAAGTTCTATTTCGGGAATAAAAACATGGAAGTCTTATTTTGGTATATTTTTAATGTTTTAGTCCTACTTTGGTCTTTCTCACTCAAAAATAATAGTAGTAAAACGTAATTGTTTTAATTCAAAAGTGTGAACGAAAATATAAGTGAAATATAATGTCAAAATTATATATACAATATTGTGTCATTGGGTAGATCATTTGTCATGTAGTGACTTAGGCACAAAAAATTAAGGATAAAAATAGATGTTATAGTATAATAATTAAAATAAATAAAAAAAGTTCAAGAAAATAAATTGGGCTGAAGTACCATGGTCACAAAGATATCTCAAATCTCACGCTAGTAACTCACGGCACCACGTGTTCCTCTATGAAGGAGTAAGTATATGGTACAATCGGTTGTACCTAAAAATAGGATGTACATCCGGGTAATACTCATTTTGAAGTAAAGTACTACTCATTCTCGCACAAACAAAACAATTTATTTAAAATAGCGTGGTACTCATTCTGAAATAACACAGTACTCATTCTGAAATACGTAATACTCATTTGCACACATTTGTACAATATTCATTTATTAATAACGTAATACTCATTCTAAAACCTAGTAATACTCATTCTCAAATAATCTAGTACTCATTCTTAAACAACATACCATTCATAAAAATCCAAAATCCAAAATCTTAAAATTGGAATTAGAACATACGGAGAATTTGGAATTAGAGCTTTGCCTACCGGATCTGCGGATCGGGAGAGCTCCTTCATCGCCGATAGATTTCGCAGATCTTCCTTCTTCCTCCCGACCGATTTTGCCCGAAATTTCCGCAGATCTCCTTCTTCATCGCCTCAGATCGATTTTGCTTTCCGCAGCTCTCCTTCGACCCAGCTTCCAACCCGACCCGACCCTCCTCTTTTCTCCTCCGATCGACGCCTTTTCTACCGGCACCGGTTGTATAATTTGCATCTGTGAAGCATATCGATGTGGTAGTGCCATGTCAAAGCACTCTTTCTCTCAGATTTATGTTTTCCTTGGTGCATCTTGTTCCCCCTCCCCTTCTCTCTCTTCTTTTCCTCACCTTACTTTAACCACTCTTCTCACTTTCGCTAACTCCACATCACCAATACTCAAACTTTTCGTACCCTATAAAGTTGCTCGAACTTCAACATTTCACTTTCATGTTAAAAGTTAAAACGGGGGTGATTTCCCAATCAGTGAAGATTTGGGAAATGCATTCCCAAATGGTGAAGGTGTGTCTGACAATGTGCAGGGTGGTCAGATTTGATGCTTAACAACACTAGTAGTACCGTTAATTTATTTTTTTTAGATTAACGGTAGAGCCAGTACCGTTAATCCTTGGGTTATTTATAAATATGAAATGTAATACTCCCTCCGTCCCCAATTTGATTACAAATTGCGGGTTAGGAGTAATTTTTTTTACTTTTTTGAAATAATTTTATTTACAAATTGGTATATCAATAAGATATAAAAATTACATAAAAATTACATAGTAAAATTTCCTATTTTTTGTTAGGTGGATTGTATGGTGTAGGATGGTTAATGGTAATAGATGTGTTTTTTATGTTAGGTGCATTGTATGGTGTATGATGTATGATGGTTCACGGTGTTAGATTAGATTTTTTTTATTAGATAAAAGCATTAAATTTGAACATTAATAAAATTTGAACATTAATAGAATTTTTATTCATTGATGCACTACTACTGAAATTGAAAAGCATACGAATAAAACTTGTCGTACATATTTAAAAATCCCACATTGAAATTTATAATTTAACTAAGTACTCCGACGATGTCTTCGTGCTCGCATATCCATATTATTTATGAAGCGAGTGCTCACTGGCCGACCGGCCTGCGACCTTTGCCCTATAAATGGATGGACTGATTCATAACCTAGGGTAGGCCATTCAATTTCGTTTTGTAGTGGCATAACACTTCCAGAATATGCATCGAGGTAATTCCGAAGTGAGAACACTCGTGGAATAAGATCATCAACAGTAATGTTGCAATAACGACATACGGCGTATACATGCACACATGGCATGTGCAATGTGGCCCATTTCCCGCAACTGCACATTTTTTGGCCTAGATGCACGACAATCTCATCTAATCTACCAGTAGCTCCAGCGTTGCCCTCAACAACAACCCGATAAATCCCTTGTTGCGGATGATGGGGGATAACATGGCAATGTAAACGATGGTCTTCCATGCGTCTCACCTCGTTCCAAATATATTTTGGGAACTTAAATCCCGCTTGTAGCCATGTAAATCTGTTTGTACGCCTTTCTGCAAATAATTTTACTAATCGCTCGTACGTCGTCTTCACAATAGCGTATACCGGAAGAGACCTACATCCCTTAAGCACATGATTGTAGCTTTCCGAAAGATTAGTGGTCAGGATTCCATATCGAGCCCCACCATCGGAACAGAGTGCCCACTTCTCTAATGGCAAAGCCAACAACCAGTCATATGCCTCCTCCCGTTGTGACTTAATTTGTTGCATTGTTCTATTGAATTCAAAGACATCTGGGGTACTGGCTGCATGATACATCAAGCCCTTCAGTTTTTTTCTATTGAACTTCTTCTGAAAATTACTTCTCAAGTGGCGCAGGAAATATCTCCTGGTGACACGCTGCTCCAATAATTGGGGGATAGTATTGAAAGCTACATCAATGCACCCGTGCCTATCCGAAATGATGCACACCAACATATCATAAGGTACTACATAATGCATTTAATGCATCATGAACCAACTCCAACTATCCCCGTCTTCTTTGTCAACAAGGGAATATGCTAAGGGGTAAATCTCGTGATTTGTTGTCATTGTTACTGCCAACAACAACACCCCCTTATATTTCCCATACAAGTGGGTGCCATCAACAGAGATCACGGGAAAACAGCACTTGAACCCATCTATAGACGCTTTGAAAGACCAGAAAATGTACATGAATTGAAAAGTTTGTGGCGTTGTTGTTGGCCGCATTTGTATTTCGGCCACTGACCCAGGATTGCTTTGAATCAACGCTGCTAATAGAGGCAATAGCTTGTTATACGAATCCTCTCAGGATCCGTACAGTCGTTGAATGGCATTCGATTTAGCTAACCAACATTTCTTATACGACACAGAAATTTGAAATAAGTCGTATATATCTTTAATGATGTACCTCACCTTGTAATCAGCATCTGCAGCAATTTTAGAGAATATAATTCCCGAGATGAGCTTGCTTGTAATAAGCTTATCGTCCTTCTCTTTCGAAAAGTCTGGTCTGCATAAATGTTGACCTCTATACTGTTTGACAATCCAAACAGATGCAACCTCTGCAGCCTGGATGAGCCATGGACATTGTTCCGGATACGTGCACTTCGCCAGCCAATAATTGCGACGCTTTGAAGAAGTCTGAAAGTGTCTATGCTCTGCAATATTGCGTAGCGCCACTGCAAATTGAAGGCTTTTGAAATCACCGTACCGATATCCAATCTGAATTTCAGGGATACAGAACGTTGGTTGTAATGAGACTTCTTCAACGTGCCTAGGGATCGGAAATTCTAGAATTCCTTGTTCAGCAATGTTAATAGGCTCCTCTGTGTACACGTCCGGTGTGTACATAGAGACCCATCCAGATACTTCAGACTCATCTGAAGAGCTCTCTTGATAAGAATTAACAACGTACGTCGGATCCTCAGAGTCATCTTCATCATCCATGTCTCGTGCTGTGTTAGACGGTCCCGCCTCATCAACTTGGTGTTGGTGATGAACTTGGTGGTGATGAGCTTGGTGGTTTTGCTCTTCCTCCATTTCTTCTTCCTCGTTAGCCAACACTTCAACTTGGTGTGCATCTAGGTAAACCTCAAGTTCATCATATTCCTTCGTTGCCTTTTGAACGAAACACCTCCATGTTCGCTCCTCGGAAATGGGGAAAGGGCGTGAAGCAGCATAAACTCCATCCTTGTATTTGAGATATTTTCCCCAAATGTTTTTGATGAAATTGAGATTAACTTCACCAATAGCATCAAGGAATTCATTGAAGACCTTCTCGAATGAGATATCAAGATAAAAAACAAAGGCCTTGTTTGAATGCAATGAGTACTCCACCTCATTGTTCTTGATCATTATCTCACCGTTCCAATGGGCTAGCAAGACAAAACTACCATCAGAGGCCATTTTTTGGTAAGAGGTTGTGAGAGAAGTGAGTAGATTTGTGAGAGTAATGCTCGGTGGTGAGATTGTGAGAGTTAAGCAAGAAATATATAGATGAGATATTTTTTAGTTGGGTGGATTGAATGGTGTAGGATTGTTTGTAGTGTAATGTGAGATTTTTGTTTAGTTGGGTGGATTGTATGGTGCAGGATTGTTTGTAGTGTAATGTGAGATATTTTTTTGGTGGGTGGATTGAATGGTGTAAGATTGTTTGTAGTGTAATGTGAGATATTTTTTTAGCTGGGTGGATTGAATGGTGTAATATTGTTTGTAATGTAGTGTGAGATATTTTTTTAGTTGGGTGGATTGTATGGTGTAGAATGGTGGTGTTAGATGAGATTTTTTGTTTGGTGGATTATATGGTGTAGGATGGTTAGTGGTATTAGATGAGATATTTTTTTGTTAGGTGGATTGTATGGTGTAGATAGGAGAGGGCTGTGACAATGTTTTTTAACAATATATTTTTTGTAGTGGATATGCATTAACAAATTTCTTAGGTGTAGATCGGATGGATATTTTTTTAAGTTAACGGTACAGCCAGTACCGTTAACCTATTTTTAATTAATTTTTTTTAAATTAACGGTACAGCCAGTACCGTTAACCTATTTTAAATTAATTTTTTTTAATATAACGGTACTGATTGTACCGTTCATTCCTGACAGCATTGATCGGGAATGTTTTTTTCTTTTCTCACTGAACGGGAATTAATTCTTAAAACGGACATGGGTTGTCAATGTAAATTTTTTTTGTTTATGCTGACATGAAAATCCAAAAAAATTGTATTATTGGGTCATCTGGCGGGCCCACACTGTAACCGATGCTGGGCCGAGATTTCCCAATCGAACAAGAAACCGATCAACGTACCCAAGTAGCGTTCGATCTATGACGAGCAAATGATTTCCCTTTTCTCGCCGGCGCATCGTTCTTAAGCCCAATCTCGCAGATCAAATCTCTCTCTGTTCATCCTCATCACCGCCATCGCCAAAGACGCCAAAGCTTTGGATTGTGATCCCTCCCACCTGACGAACAGTGGTAATGGCGTTTACCTGATTCACTCCCTCGTGATATTCCATTATTGAAATGAAACTTTTTGCGTCGTCGGTTTTGTTGTCATGTCTAATTTCTCATTTGTTTGGGTTTTCAGCTGGACGATATTCTGGCCTGGAATCCATGGTGATGCCTGAGAGGCCTTCCTAATAGTAGTCGATCCGATCAGATGGACAAAAACAAGAACCGAACGGATCTCTTAGCCGCCGGCCGGAAAAAGGTTCCGCTCTTTGTTTTTCTACGTTAATTTCTCCTTGGCTTTCATGCCGTGTTTTATTCACATTTTATGGTTACCGAGGTTGTTCTTAAAAGAGCATATTGACTTTAGAGCATGCGGTAGAAGCTGAGTTTGCTTGTTGAACTCAGTTTTTCTATGGCATAAGAGAAATTTTTTCTCCCAACAGTAACAAACTCAGTATAATCTCAACTCCGTTTGGAGTGGGGTCAATATGTACACAGACCTACCCCTATAAAAACATGGCGTTGTTTCATAAAAAGTATATACTACCCCTAGATGCATTTTCTGCATTAAACTTCATAGAATGTCAGGGAAGTTTAGTTTGTCATTTTGATCGAGTCCTTTATTTACTTGGAGCTAAAACATTTTCAACAACGACTCTATGAAAAATGATGACGTGCATGTTTGCATTCCTAAATCATATATCTAGTCTCACAATTAGCAGTAGTGTATGAATGGATCAATGCTAGATGTATACTTTATCTTTGACCAAGTTTAAAAGATTTTCAATTCTAAGTTTGTTGGTTGCAGTTTTAAAACTATACTGAATGGATTATTTCTTAATCCCGATGAAAGCTAAATCATACAACAATTCACTTAGCAAAAAAGAACACGACTGCGCAATGCGCATACCACCAAGCCATAGATGAATAAAAGGCCAAAGGCAGAAGAACAATGTACTTAAGAAAAAAACATATTTCAAATTTATTTGACTTACATTTCATTTGGTACCAGCTTCAACAATATAGGCAGAAAAACAAAGGCAGCAAATCCTCAGGCAAACCCAACAGATCTGGGAGTGAAGCATCCACAGATCCTGCTAATGTTCTACCTGATACACAACACATTCCTGGTCCACAAAGACCTTTAGACTGCATCAGTCATGATGTCTCTTTGTCAGAGTTACATACTATAGAGGACCCTGTGGGCTCTACTACTATTCTTCCACCGGTAGAGGAGTCAGAGAAATCTGAAACAAACGAATCATCCACAGGAATCAATGAACTGGAAATGCAGACAGATCCTAGTGTGCATGCTGGGGATCCTTGTGTAGTTGAAGTTTATCAAACATTAGTTGATGATGTAAGATATGCTAATACGGAGCCAGCCCCTCTTGAATCTGAAGCGAAACCTACCTATTCAGTACGGAACGATCCTGATGACTTGCTTTCTTACCCCGATTCAGGCAATAATACCAAAGCACTTGCTCACGGGGTTGATGTGGAACGGCTGACTGACATAGATCAGGTAATAGATATCGATTGTTCCCTCACCTTTGGATCATTTCGCTTAGAATGTCTCAGCGTATTTAGCATTTTAGCTTGCAAACATGATTAATAATTAAGTCTCATTTGTTTCTGGCTAGGGGCAATGCAGGAGCCTTACAATCCAGATCCAGAGCAAGTTGGTGCAAAGAGTGATGTAGAAGTTGAACTAGAGTGTAAGCATTCTGTAAACGAGTTTGGTGGCCATGTCAGTGATCGGGCAACACCTGATGTAGGGGAGAATGGACTTACAATGGTACAGAATGAAACAACCTATCCCACAGAGATAAATGATTTTAATTTAATTTCAATAGAATCTAAAGATGCAGAAGAGAGTGATAGACATTCAATTCCACTTGATTCGTCGCATGAGGCAGTATCTGCTGTAAGTTCTCAAGTGGTTTGCGGCCAGAATGAAGGTGTTTCAACTGGTTTGCCAAGTGGGGAGATTATACAGATCCATTGTGTTTCAACTGATTATGATGGTGGCCACATGGATAGGGTTAATCCACATGCTTCTGTTAATAAAGAAAAATTGGTTGGGTTTTCATCTTCCCAAAATGCTTGTTTAATCAACCTGTCACAGCTTGCAGATGTTGTAAGAAGCCTTGATGAAGACGAGTTCAAGTTCTTGTTCATGTCTAGAGATTCAGCTGTGTCTGGATGCACGTCCAGCCTTTTTGATGCTTATGAGAGTGTGAAGGAGAAACTATACCTTGCCAATCTTGTAAAAGATTTCAAATCTTTACAGCTTGTTGAAGAATCAGAGTTACAAATATCAGATGTCAATGCATTAATGAATGAACTTGAAGACAAGAATGAAATGCTTGCTAATGAGCTTGAACAAGTTAGGTCTAAATTTCAGGTTGTTATTGCTGAAAAGGAGGAACTTCATAAACTCCTGCAATTGTCAAAAGATGAGGTTGTGGATCTTTCTGCAAGAATTGATGAGTTACAAATTAGATTAAGCATGCCACATGAGGACCTTTTCCACCTCTCTGAGGAATTGGCTAGCTGCAGAAATTTGGTCTCATCTTTAGAGGTTGAAAACGAAAAATTAAGTTCTAATCTCGATTTTCTATCCAAGGAGAATATGAAGCTTCAGGACGAGAAGGAAGACTTTGTGATTGAAAATGAGAAATTAGGAATGGAGTTGGCACAGTGCAGAAATTCATTTATTTCAATGCAGTTAGAAATTCAAGATTCTAATGAGAATCTCACTTTATTGAATGAGGAGAGAAGGAAGCTTGAAATGGAAAAGCAATATTTTGTCTGTGAGAATGATAAACTGATTGCTGAAGTAGCCGATTGCCAAAAAACTATAAAAGCCCTTCAGGCAGAAAAAACAAGCTCAAATGAGCTTTTGGCATTGGTAACTGAAGAATCAAAAAAGCTTTTAGAGGAAAAACAATCTTTGCTCAATGATAATGTGAATCTCGTAGCAGAGTTGAGGGAAAGCAAGGTTTCATTGGAAGCTCTTCAGATGGAAGTTTTTGAAAAAAGTACACGCCTCACCTCTTTAATAGAGGAAACAGTTAAGCTTGAGAATGAGAAGCAACATATACTCATTAACGATGAAGAACTATTGAGGGAACTGACTGAATCAAAAACCTTGGTTGCTTATATGCAAGCACACTGTAGTGCAGCTGTAGATGACCTGAAGAGTGCAAGTTTGCAACTTGGACAATGGACTGAAGAAAATCTGCACATGAGCAGTAGTTTGCAATTACAGAAGTCCAATATCAAAGATTTTGAAACCCAAAACAAGTCACTCTCTCAATCTAATGGAAGTCAATTTTCTGGTGACCAATATGCAGTCCAAGCAGAAGTAAGTTTAATTGATGATGATAGGTCATCTAATGCATATTTTATGTGTTCCCTTACCTTTGCCCCACTTTCCCATTTTTGAAACCCAAAACAAGTCACCCTCTCAATCTAATGGAAGTCAATTTTCTGGTGACCAATATGCAGTCCAAGCAGAAGTAAGTTTAATTGATGATGATAGGTCATCTAATGCATATTTTATGTGTTCCCTTACCTTTGCCCCACTTTCCCATTTTTTTTGAAATTATATGAACTTAGATACAATTTTAAAATCACTTACAATATTCGTGTATTGTACATTTTTCCATATTTTTGTCATGTTTTCCCAATGCGGTACATGTATTACTCCCTCCGTCCCAGCAGAAAATTCTAGTTTGTCTATTCGTGTGTTTTATGTCTAGAGCGTGTTTGAATTTGTGAATGTTATATATTTATATTGATTGTTTACCTCATATTCAAAGACATGGAATTATAATGTAAATTTTAATAATACTAGATTCAACTTCAATATTAATTTAGAATGTAACAGATTTATAGTATTTACCTATCTAAAATTGTGTGTGTGTGTCATTGACCAAAGTGTTGCATTGGTGACCATGAAAGTCAAATTTAGTTTTGAGCATAGATAATATTGTAAACCTTTTAATTTCATTAAGTTTATTTTTAAAGGGAATGCAGTATTTCTAAGATATGGTTTTATAATACTCCCTCCATCTCAAGTTAGTTTTCCGACATTGACTTTAGGGAGATTAAGGAAAGTGTTGAAAACGTGAGTGTGATGTTTAAAAGAAAGAGAAGTATTTTGAAACACATTCTTTTCCAAAAGGGAAAGAAAAAGTGGGAAAATTATTATAGGACGGACGAAAAAAGAAAGTTGGAAAACTTTTGTTGGATGGAGGGGGTATAAGAACGTATTTGAATTTGTAATTTAAAGTCTATGTAGTTTTGGCTTGATTTTTGACCATTTATTTGTACTGAATTCTACTGGACAGACATATTATTGGATGCTTAAAAACTCATTTCTCTTCTCTAGTGAAGGTGAGGGTGTAAATTTCTTTTTAAAGGTAAATAATCTCTCATCTGATAACATGCAGAATGTTTTTCTTCACTTCGAATTTATCCAAAGATATCTTGATGGTGCTGAAAGGGAACTTGAGAAACTTGATAAGACTGTTGAGGTGATTCACTCACATTCTGCATCCTTGCGCAATTCTTGTGGTGAAGTGGTCACACCCAGAATATCTAAACTCATTCAGGCTTTTGAGTCAAAAGTTCATGCAGATGACTGTGTGTCCGAGGATCAACATCAGTCAGGAAATCAAGTAGTTGAAGACCTCAGTGTGCTTACTAAGCAGCAAATACAAAATCTAAGAGCATTGCTTAAGGATGTACTTCTAGAATCCCAAAATGCTTTCAAATTATTTGAAGGTGAAATGAAGAATAAACTTCATACAAACACTGTGTTTGCAGAGCTGAATGCTAGATATGAGTCTGTAATTGAGCATACAGATCATTTGGAACATACAAACATAGTGCTCATGGTTCTTAATGAAACTTTTGGTCAGTATGCTAACAATGCCATATCAAAGGAAGGAGACTTTATGGCTCTTTATGACTCCCTGAAGAAAGATCAAGTAACATTGAAGGCAGAGAACAGTCATCTCAGAGAAGAGTTGAGTAACTTTCAAACCAAAACTAGTGAATTGCAGTATCAAGTGGAAGCGCTTAAGAAGGAAGTGGCTGACAAGGATTCAATACTGGAAGAGGAATGGAATTCTCTTGTTGCTGAGGTTGTGGAGATACTAAGTAAGCTAGAGCTGTCTACTGTACCTTCTAGCTCCTCTTTGTTAACTGTAAGAGAAACAGGATTGGACCGTCCCTCCCTGATAAGCCATATTTCTTTTTCAGTCAACAATGCCATTAAAATGATTGAAGCTCTACAGTCACAAACTGAAGCTGCTCGCTCTTCTCAAGAAGCAGCTGTCAGTAGCTTCATTGAAATGCATAAAAGGTTTGATGTCCTACAAACAGAGAATGAAATGATAAATGGTCAAATTAATAGGGTCTACAAGAATCTTATTGAAATTGTCAACGAGAGGCCTGATCAAGTAGGTGAAGCTGAAATTAACATAAAAAATGAGAGACCGATAGATCCTTTGCTTCCTGGTGTTTTTGATGCTGTTTTGGAGCAGTTGCAGAAGCTAAATAGTGAACGCCTGCGACTTGAGGCTACAAGTTCTGAACTAATTTCAGAAATGGACAAACAAAAGGAGTCAGAGGAACTGAAAAAATGTTNCCCCCCCCCCCCCCCAAAGAAAAAACAACAAACAAACAACCAAACAAAAAAGAAAAGAAAAGAAAAAGGAAGCATCTACACCCGACTCATATAATATGTTTTACTCTCTCCCAAACAGAAAGCTTCGTCTGGAGCACTTATTTTCGTCACTAAAATCCTATGGTTTATTTGATTGAACAAAACTAAGTTTTCATATAATTTACCAAAAAAGAGTTTTAAACATGTTGCATACAATAAATAAAGTAAAACCAACAAATACTCCCCGGGTCCCACAAAAAAAATTTCCTACTTCCTCTTTCTGTATGTCCCCAAAAAATTTCCTACTTTACTTCCTTTTAAAGAAGCAAACACATGGCTCAAAAAAAATTCCAGCTACATACTTTTCACTCTTCAACACTTCTCATAAATTCCTTCAAAAGTCAAATTAGGAAGTTTTTTATGATGTCATGGGTGTTCAGGTTTCTCAGGGTACTTTATGTTTTGTGGGGTATCTTTTTTGCAGCTTCTGGGGTGTTTCTATGGTAATTTTACTTGTGTGGTGTGCTGCTTGTTAGTTGTTACTCCTTTTTTCTCATACCTGATTTAGCCTTACTCTTGCTCTATATTTGTTCTTGGCTGTTTCACTGTATTCTTTACATTCTTTTGAGCTGGGATCTTTTGGAAAATCCTCTCTGCATAGGCGTAAGGTTTGCATACACCCACCCCCTCGATTGTGTGGGACTTTACTGCATAGGTTGTTGGTGTACCTTAGCAAAATTTAAAAGTTGTTCTTTGGTAAAAAATTACTCTTTTTTGATGGATATAGTATAATACTCCTTATTAATGATTGTTTTTTCACTCAAATGATATATCTTTGTGTCGCGTCTGCAGGTAAAGCTGCTCGCTGATAGAGATGCCTACAAGGAAAAGCAAATGATTAATTTGCAAAAAGAGATGGATCAGCTCAGTTTATTATACACCCAATTTGAAAATGAAAATTTCATCCTCAAAGAAAGCTTGAAGAAACTCAAGGAGGATGCCGTGGCTCTCAACTCACAACTAAATAATAAGGTTTTTGAAACTGAGCAGTCTGATCAGCGTGTGGCATCACTGAGAGAGAAGCTTAGCATAGCAGTTGCAAGGGGGAAAAGTTTGATTGTACAGCGTGATGGTCTTAAACAATCTCTTGCAGAGACGTCTAGTGAACTAGAGAAGTTCTCACAGGAATTGCATTTGAAAGATTCCAGGATTCTCGAACTCGAGATAAAGCTCAAGACCTATTCAGAGGCTGCTGAACGGATGGAAGCTCTAGAATCTGAACTCTCTTACATTCGAAACTCTGCTACTGCATTACGTGAATCATTCCTTCTTAAAGACTCGGTTCTCCAGAGAATAGAGGAGATCTTCGAAGATTTAGAGCTGCCAGAACACTTCCATTCCCAAGGCATTCTTGAAAAAATTGACTGGTTGGCCAAGTCAGTTTCTGGGAACTCTATTCTCTCAACTGAATGGGATCATAAAAGAATCGTTGGAGGATCTTACCCTGAAGCAGGAACTGGTGTCGGGGATGGCTGGAAAGAGGATACTCAATCAAGTTTGAGCTCTTCTGAAGACCTCAGAGTAAAATATGAAGATCTGCAGAACAAGTTCTATAGGTTGGCTGAACAAAACGAGATGCTTGAACAGTCTTTGATGGAAAGGAACAATCTTGTTCACCATTGGGAAGCTGTCCTTGATACAATAGAAATGCCCTCACAGCTGAGGTCTGTGGAGCCAAATGATAAGATTGGTTGGGTTGCTTTTGCGCTTTCAGAGGCTCAGAACTATTGCAATTCTCTTCAGCAGAAGATTGATAACTTTGAGGTTTTGTTAGAAGGCTCAAATAGAAGATTATTTGATCTTGAGGCTTCATTTGAGTCTGCCGTCAATGAGAAAGATGTCCTCTTAAAAAAGCTAGAGACTGTTACCTGTGACAATGAAACATTATCAGATATGGCTGCCCAATTCGAAACTGAGAACAATAATATGCAACATACAATCAGCTCTTTGCAAGAGAAGTTGGCTGAAATGCTTGGGAGGGAGGAACACATGCATCATATTTTGGGGGAGATAAAAAGATTGCAAGCTCTTGTTAGAGATGCTCTTCATGACAATGTCATTGATGATCATCTACCTAGTGTTGATGGCATTAAATATTTGGAGCAATTACTGAGGATGCTTATAGATAAATGTACGCCGATCTCTTTTAGCAAAGCTGCTAATGAAGATGCAGCAGTCGAACGTGTTTTGCAGGTTGATCGGACTGAAAGTGAACAAAGAGAAAGTGAATCCAGGTATGCTGAGGATAGAGATGCAGGTACTCCGAACATAAAGATGGGGGATGCTTTTGGTCACATAGTGTGTTTGAAGGAGGAGAGAGCTAGTTTTTTGGAACAGCATCAATCTTTGGTTTCTGAAGTTGAAGCCTTCAATACAAAAAAGAAAGAATTGTTGGAACTTCTTAGTCAGGAGGAGCTGAAGAATCAATCTTTGGTTTCTAAAGTTGATGCTCTAACTACACATAATAAAGAATTGCATGAATTGCTTAGTCAGGAGGAGCTGAAGAATCAATCTTTGGTTTCTGAAGTTGAAGCGTTAAATATGAATATCAAAGAATTGCAGGAGCTACTTAGACAGGAGGGGCCAAAGAATCAATTGTTGATTTCAGAAGTGGATGATCTAAATATGAAAAATAAAGAATTGCTGGAAGTCCTTAGTCAGCAGGAGCTAAAGAATAAATCTCTGGCTTCTGAAATTGATGCTCTGACTACTAATACGAAGGGAGTGTATGAACTGCTTAGTCAAGAGGAGCTGAAGAATCAGTCTTTGGTTTCTGAAATTGAATCTTTGAATATGAATATGAAAGAATTGCAGGAACTACTCGCACAGGAAGAGCCAAAGAATCAATTGTTTATTTCAGAAGTGGAAGATCTGAATGTGAGAAAGAAAGAATTGCAGGAACTGCTTAGTCAGGAGGAGCTGAAGAATCAATCTCTGCTTTCTAAAGTTGAAGCTCTGAATATGAAGATTAATGAATTACAAGAACTGCTTAGTCATCAAGAGGCGAGGAACCAATCTTTGGCTTCTGAACTTGAAGCTCTAAATATGAGTAAGAACGATTTGCAGGAACATCTTAGTCGGGAGGAGCTAAAGTCAGCTTCTTTAAGGGAGAAACTTAATGTTGCAGTTAGAAAAGGCAAGTCTTTGGTGCAACAGAGGGACAGCTTGAAGCAATCAGTTGAGGAGTTAAATATTGATGTGGAAAATTTGAAATCTAAGTTAAAACTCCAGGGAAATGTTATTTCAGACTGTGAAGAAAGGATCAAAGATCAGTCTGCATTACAAGAAAAATTAAATAGCATAGAAGCTGATAATGTGCTTTTGAGAAATCGTTTGGGAGAAGCTGAATATTCTTTGCAGGAGAGGGAGCATATGTTGGACATTATATTGAATGTTTTCAATGAAATCAACCGTGATTTCCTGTCTACTATCAGTAGCCCTGTTGAGAAGGCTAAACATGTTAGCAATCTCTGCTTAGATTTACAATCTGCTGTGGCTGCTTCTGAGCAAGAAGCTATAAAATCCAAAAGAGCAGCTGAGTTGCTGCTTGCAGAATTAAATGAAGTCCAGGAAAGAAATGATGGACTCCAGGAGGAGCTATCATATGCTCTTAGTGAGGTATCAAGGTTATCCAAGGAAATAGATTTTGCTGACACTGCTAAAAATGAAGCTATTGCTAATCTTGACAGGCTATCTGCTACCCACCAACAATTGTCAGCTGAGTTTCTGGTACAAAAAACTAGCGTGCGGGAAATTAAGGATGCTCTCTATTTTGTTAGAAATTCATTCCAAGATGTGCTTTTGAAAGATTTGGAGATTTTGCGCAAACTTGCAGCCAACCTAAAGGCGGGCTTAGGATCAAAATATGCCCTGACTGCCATTCCCCTTATGGGGAGTGCTGCTCCCCACGGCACTTTCTCTATTTCATCCGAAAACAAGGTACTATTGGACCAAAGTGTTTTATGTTGCTACAACTTGGTACTCATATACCACATCATTCAGTTTTTCATATCATACTACAAGTATTTTAAAAGAGAGAAAAAAAATCTGAGAAGACTCCAAGTACACGTGTGTATAGATCTTTTTGCTCTTTTTTCTTTTAAATATGATGCAAGTAGGGGTAGAGGCTGTGTACACATATCCTCCCAGGCACTACTTTTGTTGGATTTTACTGGGTTTGTTGTTCCTGTTTAACCGAAAAGACTGAAGTTATAAAACAAAATTGCTCCTTTCAAAAAATGAAGTAAAAAGTTGTTCCTCCTTAATAGCTTTCCATTCTGTTTACTGTTGACATTTTCTCATGACTGTATCTTTCAATAAATTTTGTCATTTTATTTTGTATAGTATTACTAGCTCTAACCATTTCTTTAACTTGGCCCAAATGTCTGAGCTTTTCTGTGATACCATGCGAAATTTTCTTAATATCTTTTTGTGTTTTACAATTTTTTTCACATCATTGGCCATTATACCAGCCTTGTTCTTGTATTCCTAGGACTAATTCTAATAAACTAAAATTCCACTGACCTTCAAATCTAAAAATTGCTCTTCAAGTAGTACTTTGTAAGAATGGAACATGTCAACACAATTGAGTTTTATCAAAATTAAGATGGGTTGTATTATTTTATTGTACATCTGCAGGCATTTGTCGAAGAACTGAGGTCTATTAGCGAAATGTTAGATGAGCACTCCCAACTGGTGCATGATGAAGCTAGACACATAACTGAATTTTTTGGCAGTATTCATGAAGAAATAACCTTACAAAAACAATCTTCTGAATCATTGAAGAAAGACATGGAAGGTCTAAAAACTATTGTGAAGGAGAAAGATTCTGAATTGATTCAGATGCGTAGATGCAGTTCGTTGCTTTATGAGGCATGCACTAGTGCAACATTCAAAATTGAAAACAGGAGAGAACAGTTACTTGAAAATAATATAGCCAGTTATGCTCCTGGAAATACTTTGGTATCCTGGAAACCTGTTGGCGGAGGTTTGACCGAAAACACTGACCTTTCTTCTGAAGATAACATTAGGTCTGTGAGTGAGAGATTGCGTATAGCTGTGGAGGACATAATGAATGTTCAAGTGGAACTTGTTGAATTTAACCAAAAGGACATTAAGGCTGCTATGTCAAATCTACAGAAAGAACTTCAAGAGAAAGATATTCAACGAGAGAAAATTTGTAGGGAACTAGTTAGTCAGATCAAGGATGCTGAAGCCATTGCTAGTAATTACCTGCAAGAACTTCAGTTGACAAAGGTTCGGGTAAATGATTTACAGAGAGATGTGAAGTTAATGGAAGAGGAGAAAACTAAATTGGAAGATAAAACAAAAGAATTGCAATATCAGGGTTCGGCCCTTGCTGATGCACAGTGCAGAATTATGTTACTTGAAGATATGGTAGCTTCAAAGGAACAAGGTATGCTTGATCTCTGTTGCACCACTGCATTTAAATTTTTGAATAGGAAACATCAAACTTGTGTGTTTGTTTTCAATTCTTATTGTTGTTCATGCTGAATATGTGTTTATATCAGAAAATGAGGCACTGATGCAAGCACTTGATGAAGAAGAAGGTCAAATGGAGGATATGTCAGCCAAGATTGGAGAACTGGAAGGAGTTCTGGTGCAAAAAATTAAAGATGTGGAGATCCTTGAAGTTTCACGTGGTAAGGCTCTGAAAAAGCTTTCTGTGACACTAAGTAAGTTTGATGAGCTCCACCATCTATCTGAAAACCTGCTCTCCGAGATCGAGTCACTACAGTCACAAGTACATGAGCGGGATGAGGAAATATCATTTTTGCGGCAGGAGGTTACTAGATGCACAAATGATGCACTAGCTTTAAGTCAGACAAGCAACAAACAAAATTGTGATGAAGTTTATGATTTGGTTACATGGTTAGACAAGACAATATCTGGTCTACAAGGGAATGATTCAATTCTTGATAAGGAGAAGGTTCACCATTTCCACGAATATCAAGAAAGTCTACAGAAGCAACTCATGTCTATTGTGTCGGAAGTGGAGGGCTTACGTGCCGCAACACAAAGTAAAGATCTGCTTTTGCAAATGGAGAAAGCTAAAGTAGATGAACTGTTGCAAAATAAAGATATTCTCGAAAAGTCCTTACACGAGAAGGATTCTCAATTGGCCATACTAAGAGATGTTGGAGAGCCGGGACATGTACCCAGCACAAGCTCTGAGATTGTGGAAATTGAAGCACTGGTATGCATTTCATTTTATAAGTTTTATCTTCTTATGATATTACTTGAAGTTTCACCTATGTTCCTTTCAATCTTGACCCAGTCCCTATCCATGTCGTACTAAATTCTTTTACATTTTTTATTTACCTTCATTTTCCTTTTCCTTTTCAATGAGCATATCTCATGAAGTATGAGACAAAGTTAAACTTTTGAAGATGAAAACGTATGGCAGGGACATTTTTATGAATTGTTTTTGGTCACTCCAAAACCTAAAACTCTCACTATTACAATTCCATCAATGCTAAATTTAACTACATGACTGTAGATCAATGTATGCATCTCTTTTTTGGTATTGAAATAGGCATAAGGAAACAGCTATGGAATTTTTGTTGTAATTCAAACCTCTGAATAAAATATTTATAAATTTGTTCTAAATTCTCTGAATTTCTCGAATCTCCCCATCTTCATTTGGTGGAGAATGAAGTCATCAAGTTTTTAGCTTTTAATATTTTGAAAAGGTTTGTTCATTTGGTTTCTAAGTCAATAGCTACCAAACTAGTGTATTTTGCCTCAACAACAAAAACACCCCATTTGAATCCCATGAGAGTAGGGTTTGGGGATGGTGTGTGTACACAAACCCTATACCTACTCGAAAGTAGAGAGGCTGTTTCCAAGAGGCCCCCCAGCTTGAGTAACATAGACATCCGAACAAGCACATAGGACAAAAAAAGAAACTAAAGGCATCCGAAGGTTAATGAAGAAAAACGAAACAAGCATAAAACACCGAGCATAAAAAACACACAACTACTAGTGCAAAAACGAAACCAACAGCAAAGTCTTATACTCTTATTTCTCCAAACGCTCCCATCTAAGGTCATATCTTTGGTAAGGGCCAAACGTGTATGGTCCTGTCTAATCACCTTGTCCCAATTCTCCAAAACCAACAAGCATTACTGTAATTAAAGCAGTCTCAATAAAGGGAAATGGAGATCTCTATTCTTACTGGTTTAACTTTAATCTTTTGGACTTGAGTTTACTCTTTGTTTTTAAAATCTTAACGAGTGATTTTTTTTCTGAAGGACTATCAATAACAAATTATGTAATGTTCCCTTGTCCCAAGTTCATCTTCCCATTTGAAAATGGCACAAAGATATATATATATATATGTGTGTGTGTGTGTGTGTATATATATATATATATATATATATGCATGCATGCATGCATGTATGTTTGTTTGTGTGTGTGTGTATGTGTGTACATACATATATGTATGTATAATAACATTGCTAATTTGCTATACATGTTTTTAATACCATATTATTTCTTGATTGTATGTTTGCCTGATCCCCATAGTTTTAAAAGGCGACCGAGGCGGTTTGCCTCGAGGCAGTAAGGTGGCTTCATTTTGGCTCCGAGGCTTAAGCCTTAGCAGGGATGCTTGAGACGTATGCCTCACAATGTTGAGGCGGTCTGAGGCGATAAGGTGTAACCGAGGCGCAAGCCTCAACTCTAATAAGAATTTCAACCATTATAAAGGCTATTTTTAAAAATTTATTGGGCCTTTTTTACAAAAACTCTTTTGTGCTTGTGCACTGTATAGTTTCTTAAGAAAAACTGAATAAACCTAGTAGATAATTAACACTTCAGTGGCAGTGTGGCACAACTTCTCTCTTGTGGTAGCGGCTAAGGCGATTGCTTCATATTTTAATTGCTTATCATCTATTTCTTTCAAGTTTTAATTTTTTTCAGTTCCTTCTTTTCCTGCACCCCTCTCCCTCTTTTAAATTCAATACAAACTTCAAAGAATGGTGTAACTTTTTTTTTTGCGTGAACTTTTGTCCACATTTAATTAATATATATAGGGTATCATTTCTTGTAAAATTCAAGAATTATGATTTCATCATTTATTTAACATGAAAATGGATTATGCATTTTGTTTTACCTCGGAGTACATATTTTAGTAAGTATTATTTTATCCATATTGAACTGAGGCTTATGCCTCGTTCCGCCTCAGGGCTTATGCCTCAAGGCATTTTGCTCCACCGCCTCAAGGCTTGTTTTTGCCTTTCAAAACCTTGCTGTTCCCTATGGGTCCTGAAGTTAATTTAATTACGGAACATTGATTATTGCTTTGTTTTATCGGCAACACTGCTAATTTTTGAAATTCAATCTCTGTGCTCTTGGTAGCTCTCAATCATTGAGTTTTAAATCCTTGGATAAAGTCCACTTCCCCCAAGAAACATTGATTTTAAATACTGTTCAAATAGCAATATTTCTAAACTAGATGCTTAAGTTTTTTTGCATTTGATAAAATTTGACAGCATAATTTTCTATTTTGCTTCTAATTCAGAATAACAAGTGGGTCACACCTGGATCATTAGTCACTTCTCAAGTTCGCAGTTTGCGGAAAACCAATAATGATCACATTGCCATTGCTGTAGATGAGAATCCTGTCGGTGTGGAGTTGGAAGATGAAGATGATGATAAGGGTATTGCTTTCTTAATCTTATTGAGGTTAATTTTTAGCATATTTATATAGTACTTTCAGATGTGATAAAAAATCGTTTCTGTTTTGAATTATATACATGGTATATACTTAACAACTATCAAAATTTCCTCTGTTCGAAACTTGAGGCACAAGAAAATAAATTTGTTTCCAAAGCCCATCCCTTTGCGAAGCCACAAGTGACGCTGTGTTAGATATTAGTAGACAACCCCCTTAACTTTTAAATATCCAAGAAAACTTTATTTTATCGCAATCTGCATCGCACTTGCATGTTTTCCCCTTGATTACCATCTATTTTGTGATCTCCCACACCCTAAATACTCTCATTAAAAGGATGGTTTATTTCCCTTTTTGGGTTCAAGAGGTTTTCCCTCAATGCATCAGGTCCTAGAGTCGTTATTATGAAAATTGTAAACGTGCAAAGTGACCTTTTTTTTTACATATGTAAAGTAAAAAGCAATCTATTAGGTTTTTAGCTTTCCTGTCAAACATATCAGTACATCATTACATTCAAATGATATAAATTTGCAGGCAAATGTGTCTATGACAGTTCAAGACCTAATTTAAATTTTTATTATCAATATAGTTTTTGCTTCTACTTTTCAAATCATGTTAGATAATTTGTTATGATGAAAAATAGAACCTACGTGCCTTGATTATCATAGTAGAACTCTTTCCCATACTTTTTACCAAAAAACATTGCAATTGAGTTAGTGAAAGTTGAGAAGGGTGTTTTGGTAAACATGAATTAAGATGGCTGTTATGGTCAATAATATTTCATTACGAGTTATAAATTTTAAGCATACACCTGCTGCCATATCCCTCTTGTGGGACTACACTGCACAGGTTGTTTGGTTGGTGGGAGTAAAGTTATTGCGTAATAGTGTTTGGTTTGGTTTGGAATGAAAATTAGTGTGTATTAGTGCGCTCATGCACCTGAACAAAACCTGTACATTACTACATTACATGGAAAAAAATGTGTATCTAACATTGTACTAGTGCTTATTTTTGTTAGCCATTCATTTCTCATCACATACATTAATTTCAGCACATGGTTTCAAGTCTCTAACAACCTCAAGGATGGTACCAAGATTTACAAGACCATTGACTAACATGGTAGACGGTTTATGGTAAGGATTTTTCATATGTTTTCCCCTTTTTGGGCAATGGAGAAGTGCAGGTGAGTTTAATACTCTGTTACCATGCATTTTTTGTATTCTTCCAGGGTATCATGTGATCGAGCTCTAATGCGACAACCTGCTTTGCGGCTCGGTCTCATATTTTATTGGGCTATTGTACATGCTCTTCTTGCAACCTTTGCCGTGTGAGAAATCGTGCAGGTGAAAGCGCTCCCTTCATAATTTGTTTTCAGGTCTTTGCCTCTTAGTGCTCATGGCAGGTGATTTACTGCTTCTCATTCATTACTCTGGAAACATAGAAAGCTGCCTTGCCATATTTTTGTGCGGGGGGGGGGGGGGGGG